GCTCCATTGTAGTATCTTCATGATGAGCAGCTGGCACTCTCTCAGTTATATAGAGTGGAAAAGTTGACCGAATCATCGGCGAGTGATATCGAACCGATGCTGCCACGCATTCCTCTCCCCCTACCCGAACCTTTGGCCAACTTGAAGTATGGTCAAAACCCTCCATGTTTGACACGGCATGGGGTGACCTTAATCCAAAATTGTATTGCCAATAGCCGTAAATGATGGTGGTAAAATAAAGCCAGTGAAAGCCAGATGTGTTTATAACATACTCATATTAAACTTCAAATTACATCTTTACCTATTTCAGAGCGGCACATTCATGATCATCTTCTGGAAGACGGCTCTCCGTAGTGCAGTATTGCTGTACCCCACCTATTGTAAAACACATTTAAAAATGATTATTTGGTTCTTTCGGTTAAGTCACGTCTAAAGATAAAATAATAAATTAAATTAAATAATAGCATACGACGTTTCGATTGCAACACAAGCAATCATCATCAGGTATAATGAAATAGCGACATAAAATCTAACCAGAAAACTATAGACAGACATATTAGCAGACAGATATCACCAAGATACATAGAGGGAGCAACACAGGAACCAGAGAGGGGTGATCATCTCTGTGGGGTGGCCTTAAATAGACAGAGGGGGGAGGAGGCAGAGAGAGGGAGGGGGTTGGAGAAAACATTTGCATATCAATGAGTGGTCCAAAAACAAGGTTCTGCAAGTGCGATGACACGGCAAGCAAGTCTGAAAATCAGAAGGACAAACTAAAATTCAATAACCTAGCAAAATATCGAAATGTAATGTAATACAACACAGAGGGTCGGTCAACACACAATTAACGCATAGCCTGGTTGATTACGTATTTCAAAGATTGCTAAGTTAGAATTTAAGTGTGAACATTCCAAAGAGAAGACACAGGCAGAGAGAAGAGAGAGAGAAAAAAGGATAAGCTCAAAACTTCCCCGTAGAAGTGGTTCAATCTTAATTTTAGAACTTTCGTGACTGCAGTAAATAATTATTTGGTTCTTTCGGTTAAGTCACGTCTAAAGATAAAATAATAAATTAAATTAAATAATAGCATACGACGTTTCGATTGCAACACAAGCAATCATCATCAGGTATAATGAAATAGCTGATGATGATTGCTTGTGTTGCAATCGAAACGTCGTATGCTATTATTTAATTTAATTTATTCGTTTATCTTTAGACGTGACTTAACCGAAAGAACCAAATAATCATTTACTGCAGTCACGAAAGTTCTAAAATTAACATTTAAAAATGTCCCTTAAGTTTTGGGTGGGCGCCTTACTTTCTGGAGCATCTTATAATGTCGAGAAAACGGTATATACATGTATTATTTTGTTAGAGGGCAGTGTTAATGACGGATTGCCACGAGTTTTTTTTCCATCGATATTCAGCGAACGCAGCAGTTCATGTTCCATACTTTCATTTTCGACATCACGAGTTCCAGCTTTTCACCCGTCACCGTTGAAGAGATGCGAGGTGTGATCTAGAGCGCCAAGGGCGAGTGGCGGTTAGGTCCAAATGCCACTCAAGTCTGCTGGAAGACCTTTGAAATGTTATTTGGAGGGTGGTCGGGTGGCTTAGTAGGTGGCCAAGCTCCTGTTAGAACATCGAGCCAAAACGCCGTTGAGATTGCGAGTTGGAATCCGGGCAGCCACCCACAGATAATTAACTTTGTTGTTTCTGGCCAGGTCGCTTCGAAAAAATAAGTCAATACCTCAGTGGGCTTTGCCTTGTAGGATGGGCATGGTTTAGTTTTCATTTGTATGTGTTTGTGATTTGTTTACCTTTCTTGTACTTTTCATTACTATCATGTTCTTGTATTGTTTGTTGTTGTAACGTTCTTGCCCGTCCCTACTTGACATGTCAAAAAGAGCTTTAAAGCTCAGATTCTTCCAGTGTAAATATTCTGTAAATACAACCGATTTCCAAGTGTTCAAACTCCCATCAGAAGTATGTTGTTTTGTGTGACGATTTCCATTGCTTTATTTTTATGCATATGCCTGTGCAAGAAATATAATTTCTTTGAGACAAACACTTTAATATTATTGCAATAAAATTACGCGGCCTTTTTGTTGTTGTCCTTGCCAAAACGACATGACCTGTTCCTGCACTAACATAGGCTACCGCAGGACCTGCAGATGTGGGAATGCCAAAACTTTGGGGATCTGGCTTGCTTCAGCTTGGCTGTCCCTGCCCACCAGGTTCTCTGTATGACAGAACCTCCCCCGGGGTGGAGGAGGCCAAGAGTTTGGCCACAAGCCTCATGAATGAACATTACTAACACAATTAGTTTACCAGAGAAAGTCCCCTGAGCAACTTGGCTCTTTTTCAGAAGAGACACGGCCACAAATGATACCTCGACAAAGTGGCTTATGATTGTGGGAATTCATAACAATGTAATACCATAAACGCATGTTGATTCTAAATGTAGAAGGAAAACCCGGAGGACCCAGAGAAAAATCCACGCGACCACAGGGAGAAGATGCAAACTCCAAATATACAGCAGAGTCGAGATCGAACCCATGCCCTCCTGTATACCAAGCGAGGTCGTGAACATCTCGCCACCGTGGCACCCCATCGACTGTTACTGTTGTGAGCGATTGTCACTGTTTATTGCCAGAAAGGGTAAAACATATGCTTATATATTGATACTGGCAAGGGAAGTCCCATGATGCAGCTGCTCGCCCCGAGATAAATTGCTCTGATAGTGCATTGTCTTTGTGCTGTTCACCTTATGGCGTCCTCTCTTCTAACACTGTTTGAGACTAGGCTCTAAAGATGTCTCTGGTGTGGACCAGTTTCAAAGACAATGCATTTATTACCAGAGCATGTTTTTGTTTGCATGTTCACAAGTATGTGTGGTTAATGCAGACATGATTCCTTGCAACACATTCCTGCGGAGGGAGCTGGTAGGAACATTAAGTTGCTCGGTCAATGGCCAGGGTCAACGGCGGCGTGGTGTATTCTGCAAATATGCCCGACTGTGAGGGCGGGCACAAGCCGGCGTGAGTAGGTTAAACGTTGAGTTTTATAAGGGCACCACGGGGTGACCAGCCCCTCCCCACCCAGCCCCACCCTCCCCACCCAGCCCCACCCTCCCCACCCAGCCCCACCCTCCCCACCCAGTAGTATGCATTCAGGGTATTAACAAAGAAGGCTGTAGGTCTCGAACCTCGCAACCCCTAAAACAAACAGCAGACATGCTACACAGTAGGGGGCGCAATATCACATACGCTGCTATGAGATTATTACGTGACAGTCAACTTCATATTTGGCATTTCCATAGCTGCAATTTAAGCAAGTGTTAATGTGGTGGCTTTTCCGGCAATTATTGGTGACCAGGTTACACACCGTAAATAAGTAAATTCTATGTTTAATAAAAAAAACATCAACATCCCTGCATGTTTTATTAAATTAATATTTATTATTCGATTTAACAACATATTTCAATTACATTCAACAACCATTACTATACTCATATTTTACAATATTAATAGCAATTACTCATCTGATGGATTATTTCGTTCATTTGCAATGAACTGCACAGCTTGTAATGCAAGTGATGAGAATGTGGGAATAATTTTCTAACAATCAATTGCAGGTGCATTTGTCCTTCTTTTTCAATAATTTTGACAGACAATATTACTGACCGTGCCCTATGTGAAATGGCGTTAGCTTGGGAAGGTCTTCATCTAGCAGTGGAAAGATTATAAAAAATCGACTTCTCACGTGTACACATTTTTGTACCTATCACAAGCGTGAGAATTGATTTTTAATTGACGAATTATTATATGCCAATGCAGCCATGATGATGATGAACACGACACAGTTTGGAACGATATAGCACCTGCGTTGACGACATCTCAAGATGCTGGTGTTTAGCATCCACTGATGCATCTTAAGAGCTGTTAAAGTTGCACTGTGCCCCAGTTACGTAAATTCGCGTCTCCCTTTTAACCAAGGATTTATTCCTTCGCAGGGATTAACTGAAATCCAGTTGAGAAGGAAAGCAGTACGAAGCCAATTCTGCACATTATCTGAAACCTTGCAGAAACAATTGAGTGGAGTAATGTGAAGACGCCTCGCACATGATGGCAAACTTGCATATTGTTTCAAATCCAGTGTTTTTCCTTCAGCCCATTTGCGTGTTTTGCTCAACAAGCAATGCCTGCCTTTCACAAAATTGTATCATCATTCACTTCATGGGATACATGATGGTGAGTGCAGCTATTATCTCTGCCTGAACAAAAAAAACATGTGAAGTCAATGGTACAAGTGTGCAATCTTCATGCAAGATTGTTGCTTAGGAATGCTGCCATGGTGTAATGGTTACCACACTGGACTTGCAATTTAGGGGTCACCGGTTCGATTGTATCTCCCGGCGCAACAGTTGAAATAATGGGGCAATTTGATAAAATCTCTCCTCCTCTTACCACCCAGTAGTATAAATGGCTATATTAAAGTTGATCGGCGGACAGTGTGTGTCTTGGGGTAAAGTGTGGGTACTGTCACCTTTTACCAGACGTCTGCCCAGCATGTAAGAGTCGGCCCTTTCGAGGGGCTCTCTTAAGTACCCTCCAGTGGAGGCCCTTCCGCCAGCAGTCGCACGAGTAAGCAATTGCGGGGCAGCACCTTTACCTTAATTATTGTAAAGTATAACCGATTTTATTTCGATTTAAAGCTTTCGTGACTGCAGGGATTCATCTTCTTGGTTCTTTCGAAAAAGTCACGTAGAAGGGAAGTAATAAAATAAAAATAAAAAATAAAACATTAAATAAAATTATTTTATTATGTTTTATTTTTATTATTTTATTATAACATAAAATAAAATAATTTTATTATGTTTTATTTTTATTATTTTATTATAACATAAAATAAAATTATTTTATTATGTTTTATTTTTATTATTTTATTATAACATAAAATAAAATAATTTTATTATGTTTCATTTTTATTATTTTATTACTTCCCTTCTACGTGACTTTACCGAAAGAACCAAGAAGATATAACCGATTTTCTCCGTTTAAGATGAGATGCAACACGGAGTTAAGTTGCAGTGTTGTGCAACTCAAAGCAATTTTCTTCGCACTCAGTTTGAAATGTATTGCCTTACGATTGGCTAGACGGAGTTTTGTGGTCATCACAAAGACGCTCAATCAAATGCGGCCAATTTGTTACGGATGACAATTTGTTAAGATTGACTAATCTATGTTTGGAAAATTGATAGCACACACACACACACGCACCTTCGTTATCATCCCCATATTTCGTTAAATTAATATTATATGTCTACAAAATCGTTACTTTTATTGTACATGTTGTTAGTCAGAGGCTTAGCCAGCCCCTTTACTAGGCCTGCCTGCTGAGGTGAATTTCCTGTGCCAACAAGGTGAGATAATGACGGGTGAATAAAAAATGAGACATTTCATTACCATATTCTCCACAACTACCAGATTATAAGACGTACCCCTCAACTTTTTCCATAAAAACAAGGGGAAAAAAGTCAATTTGATAATCTGGAGAATACAGTTAAAAGGTATTAAGATTTCTGATTGGGTGTAAGCATGACAATGGAAATCCATGCAGAAAGCCGGCTGGCAATGGAATGTGACGTGGTATAATTTAATATTTCACATTGTGCAGTGTTAGCTTTTGGAGAGGATACTACGATCCTGGCGACGGCATGAGTTGTATTCCTGGCCATGGATAACATCGGTAGCCAATCACAATTCACCAATTCACACTGACCAGTATAGTCAAACAATCCCCAAAACCACACAGCCAGTGGACGCCTGCATCCAGCAGTAGGATGATAAAATAGGCTGTCAATTGTGTATAGTGAGCATATGAATCAATTTCAACCAAGGAGTGTATGTGTTGTTACATATCTTGTAATGGACTGTTTGGCAAATAAAGTTTTAACCTAGTGCATCTTTGTAAACTCGGTAGAAATGGATGCAAAAATAAATTATAGGACCATCGAACCATGGAACGTATGGACGGACTGCAGTGAACACCTGGAATAAGATTTTAACTTCACACCATGTCCCAACTCTGTCCCCAGTACATGGGATGCGGTGCTATTAAAACGCTCGTGTCAGCTCACTCATGGTTGAACGGGCAAGCTGTCCCTGCCATCCGTCCACGCCATGTCCTCGGGGCAGCGGTGGCGGCGTAAGGTCACTCCCCGTTGGATCGCTCGGTGAATGCTCCCGGCGAATCGCACGAGCCGGGCCGCAGCCAAACGTCTGTCGCCGTGGTGACGGCGGAGTACGGGCGGCTCGGCGACACGAAACGGGCCAGGATGTCGTCTGGGTCGCCCAGAGAAACGTCGTCGCCTGCCGAGCGAGAGAGGAAAATGCTCAACTCAGCGGTTCTCGAGACCATGGGTCAGGGGAGGGCGCACGCGTATGCACAGGCTGTGGCATGGCTACCATGCAGGAGAAATTATGTTGATGTTCTACTGGCTCAAGAGCAATATCAAAATATGTAATATGACCGGCAGATTTGCATGTATATTGCCAAAAATAACTACACCGACTCAGTGCAATTATCATGATTTTAAGAATCAATTGAGATGTTTTACACAGTTGCTGAGCAAAGGCCAAAAGGGGTAACATTTTAAATGGCCAGCAACAAAAAGCCCATACTGCTCTTGTACCATCTCAGATGGTCTCAGTAAGATCAAAGTCACATTGGGTTACGAAAAAAGACATGTTTTGTATAAAAGAGACTACTTTGTGTGGTTATAATTCTTACACAATTGCTGAACACGGGTCCAAAGGCATCAAACGTCCCACAATGAACAGCACTATCAAAGTTATAATGGATTATAGTGCGTACATTTCTTGAATTGAGCAAAGTTGTATGAGCTTCTAAAGAGACGATGGAAGGGAACTCCAAATTCGAGCAGTGCTATGGAAGGAGAATGAGAAGTGTTTTGATCTGCAGTGCAGTGAGTGAGAGAGTGGATGAGTGCGTGGCCAAATGTGTTGTTGCGATCCGCATTATGGTGGACGAACACAGTGTGGATCAGACGAAACAGTCAGTGTGTGGTAGACTGAGCCCTCAACATTGGTGGAGGAATGAACGAGTGAAGTTTACGGGAACAGGAACAATGGTAGTGACGAATCGGTCAATCGTCTGCACAGCACCGTCTTTGTTGGGTCATCTGAGCTGTGTGTGAGGAGGACCTGGCGTCACCATCTGTTGGAGGCGTCGCATCCTCTCCGCGTTGCGTGCTCGCAGACGCTCAACGTTGATGCTCGACTCCGACAGGAGGGAAGGGCTTGCAGGCGGTCGCCGGGGCTCGTACATGTCCATCTAAATGGACCCAACAATAACCGCCGTTCACCACTAAGTGCCAGTGATGTCACCACGGTGCTTGTGCCATGCTAGGAGCATATTGAGGCCACGTGAAGTGTTGAAGGCCCGCTGGATGGAGGTTATGGATCAGATCCAGGTGTCATGGGTTGACTGAATCACCCACACACATGCACAAATACAAAGACCCCCTTTTAGTCTACTTGGGCTTTTGGGGCAAGTGCTGTTAGTGAGCACCCTGTGAAAACCTCAGCCCTCTAAGGATGGGAACCTCAGGCCTGTAAGAATGGGGACCTCAGGCCTGTAAGCATGGGGGTCTCAGGTCTGTAAGAATGGGGACCTCAGGCTTGTAAGCATAGGGGCCTCAGGCCTGTGAGGATGAGGACCTCATGCCTATAAAGATTGGGATATAAGGCCTGCAAATATTGGGATCCCAGGCCTCTAAGGATGGAGACCTCAGGCCTGTAAAAGATATAACCCAAACGATGAGTTTACCGTTCATGCTGCGAAGTTTAACGTCGTACCTGGCGCTGCTCCAGGGGGGCTCTGTGTCTTTGCCGTCGCCTCTCGCGAGGGGAAACTCCGATGTCTCTGGACTCCGGTTCCCAATCCCAAGCTCCATCCTGGCCTGCAGTGGGAGCTTGATATCCCTTTGCATCCGTTGGGAAGACCTCCCCAAATGCACCTGACCACAGGAAAGATATGCTGATTAAACACACACTCTCGACATCTAATGCTTTCACGTGAATGAGTGGGTTTTGTCTTCTCCTAATCTACTCACTTCCCCACTTCACCTCAGAGGTCGCAATCGGGTACTCGATACCCGTACCCTACCCGATACTCGGCTACCCGTACCCGGCCGGGTATCGGGTAGGGTACGAGTATCGGGTAGGGTAACCCGTACCCGTTCCCGGCTGGGTACGGGTACCCGTTTGCGACCCTGGTGCGGCCGGGTACGGGTACGGGTAAGGAATCAAAACCTGTCTGCGACCTCTGTTTCACCTCCACCAATGTCAAGGACTTGATCTACCAGATTGTTTAATCTGTACTGGGTTCAACCACCATAGTCCAAGACACATGTCCCAATATACTCATTTCCTGACACGTCTCATTTAGGAACTGCCTCCCATCATCTAATTTCCCAAGTTCGTATAACCATTAGTGCTCTTAGCTGCTGGCCACTTTGTGTTACAGGCCTTCCTGGGTACTGGTGGAGATCGGGTGGCATTCCGGAAATGTCTTCTCTGCATCGCCTGGAGGTGTCTCGCATCGAGCAGTATTGGCTGTCGGTGCTGCCAGGCCAAAAATGTGAATTGTTACAATCAAAATCGTTGCATGCCAACTAACGACCTTCATTCTTGCACAAATTGTATAACGGGCACAAGCGCATACGTGGACACTTTGTGCTCGTGCTCAGTGCCAGCTGTGAAGTGCCTCGTGTGCTGTGGCCTAAGTCCCAGAGACTTACCGATGAACGCGCTGTCCGATTGCAGCATTGAAGACCTGGAAGCTCTCGCTCCCTCATCTTCTGGCGGCAAATGCTGAGCAAACACAAATGCTCATTGTTTCTTCACCACGAGACACACATACTTCTGTTTTTGCATAGATCTATAGGAGCTATGTGAGCCATACGTGAAACCATGCATTATTGTATCAAACTTAAATTATAAATATGTAACATAGATGACGCCATTTCACATTTTACACGGCAGGTGAGAGTGTTGTCCTATGTGTTGTTCTGTGTTGCTCAGTGGGTGATTGTTCTGTTTAGCCACGTACCAAACCCAGGTCTCTTGTTTTCATTCCAAGAACTTGGTTCTCAAAAGAGCCTGTTTTCAGAAAAGAGAAAAAAAATCTGCTATTTATCCATCAATAACCTCCTTGTGGTGGAATTTTTTTTTATCACAAGGACCATGCTTTGGGATGTTTGGCCAATTCCTCTATAAGATGCTACGATTTGAGATAGAAAAAACTCAATTTACTTATTTATATCATCTAAATGCAATTGCCTCTCAAGATGTTGTAGGCACATTTATTTTACAGACAGACAGAGGCAGTGAGTCTTCAGCGAAGGGAAAAAAAGGAAGGTTTTGAGCCTGGAATTTAACAGGGGCATGGAGGGGAGTTCCATAATATGGGAGCAGCAGATAACAATGATATACCTCCTCACTGACCAAAGGTTGGCTGAGGTCTTTGACATAAAGCCTTGGTTGCTGGAGCAAAGTGTGCATGCAGAGGGAGGTAGGACGGTCTTGATGATGGTGAGTGTGATCTTGAAATTGATCCGGGATTGGATTGAAAGCCACTGGAGGGAGTGAAGTTTTGGAGTGATGTGACCTCGTCTATGGACGCAGGCGAGAAGTCTGCCCGTGGCATTTGGGATCACGTAGAGTGTGGAGTTGAGGAATTTGGAGCGAGGACATAGAGGAGATCAGTGTATTAGCCTTGTCGATATATGATGCAGGCAAATGTTGGATAAGACCAACTGACGAATTATAGAGTTGAATAAGCTTAACACTATGGGGACCTCATTTGCCAGTAAAAATATGATAATTGGTTCTTTACCCTTCTATCTGGCAACAAAACTGACACCTTTTGCGGTCTATGCAAACATGACTCCTTGTAAAAAGGTGTCAGTTTTGTTGCCAGATAGAAGGGTAAAGAACCAATTATCATAAGCTTAACACTGTTCTAGATTTGAAGCTTTCATGACTGCAAGGATTTATATTCTTAGGTTTTTTCGGTAAAGTCACGTAAGTAAAAAATAAAAATAAAATAAAAATCACGACGTTTCGGAGGTAACACAAGCTTCCGTCTTCAGGTGGAACCGTCACAGCACGATAGCTGTATACAGCTATTTCATTTTTATTTTTATTTTTTACCTACGTGACTTTGCCGAAAAAACCTAAGAATAAGCTTAACCCTGCCCAAACCCAGCAGTGCCGGGGCTACCCTCTCACCGGGGTCCGGGCGATGCATTGCGTCGTGTCGTCTCCTTTGGTCCCGAACGAGTGCCGATCGCTGGATGTCCAGCAGCTCATCATCTGCACAGCGTCGCCAGCATTGCAAACAGAATGCACGCACGCACGCATGCACGCACTGATTAGATTTTTTTTACCGAACATTGGTCAACAACTTGGTAAAATTGCCCGGTTGTTTATAAGTTAAGGCTTGAATAACAACACTACTTTAAGACAACATTTTACAAAAATGGGACCATCTTCATGAGAGTTACCATGACCCACCCGCTAGAGAGACACACGGATGGACATCAAGACAGATGGACAGATAGCCAGACGTATTTATGGACATAGCGAGAGAGCGAATACACGATTGGAAAGTGAAAAAATAATATTTACAGACAACTGCACGGACAGTCTTCTGTACCTGGGTAGTTGAGGGTGGGTGGTGGGGGATGGTGGCCAGCGTGCGGCCCATGTTGAGGGACGCCCTTGGAGCTAGGTCGACGCACTGGGGCCTGGACGCGCATCCTCGCCAGCTCAAACACATCGCGAGACGCTGCCCTGCTGTGCGCACTCCTCTGGGCCCTGACGGAACACGGGACGCCGCGGTCAACCCCGGTCGTCATCCCTCGTTGTAACATCCACAGCAATAGTAAATAATTACAACGCAAATTCGTTTATCACAACAATTGTCAAATGCTCTTTGGTTCTTTCGGTGAAGTCACGTAGGTAGAAAAAATTAATAGATCACGACGTTTCGATCGCAACACAAGCAATCGTCATCAGGTGAGACAACCACAGCAAGAAAACTGCTGAAGTAGGCTGTAGTTGTCTCACCTGATGCCGATTGCTTGTGTTGCGATCGAAACGTCGTGATCTATTATCTTTTCTACCTACGTGACTTTACCGAAAGAACCAAAGAGTATGGATTCCTGCAGTCACGAAAGCTTCAAATCAAAATTGTCAAATGATTAAAAATTAATCTTCTTGGTTCTTTCGGTAAAGTCACGTAGAAGGGAAATAATAAAATAATAAAAATAAAACATAATAAAATAATTCTCACGACGTTTTTATTTTCCTTCTACGTGACTTTACCGAAAGAACCAAGAAGATGAATCCCTGCAGTCACGAAAGCTTTAAATCGAGATTAAAAATTCGATATTGCACCGTGCAAAATGATATCGCGGCAATCATGCCGGTGTGTTACTGTGGGGCAAAGGGCACTGACCCCGGTCTGCTCCGTGCGTCCCGGTGCTCCTCGCTGGACTCCTGCTGCCGCAGCTGACTCTCCAGACGGCGCTGCTCGTTCTGCAGCTGTTTCCGGAAGAGCGAGAGTTCGCCCAGCACGTCCGTGCCCATTCCTGCAGAGACAGTCGCCCCAACAGCTTGCACTACCTCGCGGCGAATTCACCTGGCCATACCGCCACTCGTCGCACTACTTTACACACTTGGAGCTTGAGAAGCAAGGCTGCGATCATCAGTTCAAGAGATAATGGTAAAGTTCATATATTCTTGGTTCTTTCGGTAAAGTCACGTGACTTTACCGAAAGAACCAAGAATATGAATCCCTGCAGTCACGAAAGCTTTAAATCAAAAGTTTATATAGTTCTGTGTATTTGCAAAGAACTGAGATTCTGTGTGCGAATTACATGTGTTCCCACATGCAAATCTGTGTGTACAGATGTGCAAATCTGTGCTGCAATGTGTGATTCTTTGTGGTCGGACATGCGATTCTGACTCACCCTCTGTACGCAGCTGATTGCGTCTCGCAGGAACCGGCGGAGACCCTCGTCCCGTGCTCACACCGTCCTGCCAACAGCAGCGCGGCGTCAATGTGCAACAACGCATTAACCTCAGACGTTCAACAAACCACAAAGCACACACGGTTCAGTGTGGCCAAATCTCTAAATGACGAGAATAACTCATCAAAACAGATGTGATTGTTTTTTGCATTAGCCAAGCTTATGGACCCCATAGTGTGGAAGAGGGGACTTCACATATATGGTTCCCAGAAACAAGACTTTGCAGCAGTGAACACTGGTGACTATACTGTACTGATGAGTGCTAAAAAGATGAAACCGTTCTTCAATTGTCAATCTGTATCACTGCTGCCTGTCAGTTGGTTATATCTGCTCAAATTCGTTTTTATGGGGATCTCAGACAAGAGGACCACAATGCACTTCTTCAGGTACTGATGTTTTTTTGTTGTATAATCAACAAAGACCGACTGCTGTTCACACATTTGCGTACGTTGTTTGGAACCTCCAAGCGGCCGTCACAGCCGACTCACGTTTGCCGTAGTGGTCGCCCGGCTGTGCAGGTCAGCTGGGTGCCTCTCCCGGCTGAGTGGCGGCTCAGAGCGAGGGCTCATGTCGGCTCTGCGAGATGACACGCCCGGGCTCGCGTATCTGGCCTCTGGCACCTGAATGCCATTTCCCTGCTCCTCCCGAGTGCCAGGAAAACCTTGCTTCTTCACAAGTGCTGGAATGGGCGGTGATGCCCCACGCTGCATCAAAGACAAAGATCCTCTGTTTAGCCATATACACTTTTTGGGGCCAAGAGTTGTTCATAAGCGGTGGTGGTGTGGCCAAAACGTTGTTGTCTCCCAATTTGAAGTTCACACATGGCAATAAGTACTCGCTTAAGGTTGACTCAACCTAGGCAGGGCTCAGGACATAGCTCAGATACCACCAACTACTGCCAAAATCTTTGGCCAAGGAATGGAGTTGATAGTCGACTGCGCAAACCACTGTGCCACCGCACTCTGCTACGCTGTACCGTACACATCAAAACACACGTACATATGCAAACACATGCAGTGATAACGAGAGCCAGCAAACATTTTTTACGTACGTTTACCAGTCAATAAGAAACCACAATTGATCCATGATTCACAGTGCGAGTACAAAGAATAAACTCAAGAGCGTGGTTCTCCATGTGATGTTATAAATTATTGAAGAAAAACACTTAAGGACTGAAAGCCCCAGTAAATTCATCAGTCTGGTCGTAGTGCATTGCCCAGAGTAAAAGTGACGCCCGGTCTCTTTTCCGATTTATTGAAATTGTGCTATCGGTATTGCGTTGGGAGCCAAATACTCAATATGGAAATCTCGCAACAGAGTGAACCCCCTTTTGTCAGAGAAGAGCTGATAATAGATTTGTCACAATCCACTTGAAAAACATTTCAAGTGGCCTCTTCATCGTTTACAAAGTATGGGGTGCACGTTCCTACACAATCTGCCAAGAGACTGTCGCATGACAGTAAAAACAATATTTTGAATTCTCAGACCTGGAATTGAGACAAATTCAATGCAGCTCAAAATTGAACGTCACGGTCATTGGTAACGAGGTTGAGATCATCATATCGCTGCACTACAATAAAATCTGGTTGGTGCATGCCTGGATTTAAACCAGGGATGTCAGCGGTACCGACTTGGCGTTCTGACCTTTGAGCCACCCAAGGCAATTCCAGAATCAATTTATTATAATCTGAATACACTGGGGCTTTGAGTTCAGGCACACACAGAAAAGAGGACAGTGTGGGCAGATAAACATCTCCACATGCGTTAAGACTCGAGTGCAAATTAAGAAAACGTGTGGACACACATTTATAAAGAGGAATACTGAGGAATCAATCTTATCCCATGGCCACAAAGAAGCACTCCTGCTTTGCCTTGCTCCAAGAAGTACAGCAGGAAGCATGCAACAATCTGTGTGCATAGTGCAGAGTTGGCAGTCGGTGAGGTTAATGAACAGGTCTCTTCTGAAAAAAGATCCGTGCCGCAAATAAAAGCAGGAGCGCTTCTTTGTGAAACCCGCCGGTTTAGTAAGGTTCATGCCCTAATCAAGGTTAACCACCTTTCGAGAAACAGAAATATTTGTTTAGTTGAATAAAAAGCACACACAGGGCCAGAGCTGCACACACAGACCGTTGACTGGTGGTCAGTAGCACCAGACTCGTTCCTTTGTTGTCGCCTGGCCTGTGGATTCTGTGCAGAACTTGTCTTTGGGAGGAAACAAATAAAAGCAAAAGAGCATTTCAGGCGCCGACAAGCAGAGGCCACGCTTGTCTTCCGACCCGGTCTGTTGCGACACAGGCTAGCGTTACAGACGTATCAAGGCTGTGGATGTAACACATGAGACTCGTCACTGCCATCGGCTTCATCTGCGCGTACGGTTAAGCTGAAGTTAAGCTGTGCAACTTTCCTGCATGCAAATTTGCTATGGTCAACAATGCAACTTTGTTGTTACTGGTGGTCATGCCATGAGATGAAGTGTCCATTTTTCAACTCTTGCAGAGCGCTGCATCACATCGTGTTATAGAATTGCCCGTGGAAGCAGATATCACAGAACTACTTCTGAGATACCCTCAAGTTACTATTTTGTTTATTATCCACGTTTGCCAGGAGGCTGTCAAGGCAATTTTTGTAACTCTTAAAAACTGGGATTTTGGCTATTTCAGTGAAAAAGAAAGTGTATGAATGTGTTTTTTGTGTCACTGATGACTGTACTGAGATCGTCAACTCCCTATGCTTGAGAACACAACTTAAACAAGGGTATCTGAAAACTTTTGTTCGACTCCAGGATCTCAGCGGTGCCAGATCAATACACTAAAATGTTAACTTTAGATTCATTGCTTCTGTTTTACAGCATACTTTTCAAATGCTTGCACAATACTGAGCCATCAACGCAACCATTAACCATTAACGCAATCTCTGCCTGTGTCTTTCATTATTAATAAAGTATCGTGAATAAAGTATAGGCTGGGAGGCGTTTATCTTGTTACCAGACAGACCAGCCCAGGGACCATAGTTTGTGCTGATTCAACTTTTCAATAATACAACTATCCAGGGAATTTAGGCAAGGGAAAAGTGAGAACACGAGAAAATGAACCAAAAGTGGTATTTACTTTTTTAAAGACACTATTCTGCCACGTTTGTAGTTTGCCATGATGACCTCATGACCCCATCCAGCCAATCAGAGCACGTGTTTGCTTGCGCAATAAAACATCCGCATGAAGGCATTTGACCAAAGTAGCTCCGAGCACCTTTATTAATGTATTCACCTTCATTTGCTTGGCATTGCAGCGCATGTTACGTGGAGCGGCACACACACGGCAGTGTTGCTTTTACGCAGCAATATTCCAGGAAAATTGCACGCGAAAATTCAACTTCAGGTTGCGAACTGCGACGGTGCGTGGTGGAGTGCGGCGGGTCGTGGAGGGGGCAGCGCAGCACTCACCGTCTCGACCTCTTCACGACGAGCCTGCCTCTCTCGCTCAAACTGCCGCCGGTACTCATCGGTCCTCTTCTCCTCGTCCTCCCGCCGCTTGCGCTCCACCTCTTTCTTGCGCTCCTCTGCCTCACGAGCAAGCTCCTCGTTCTTGATCCTTTGCTGCTCGGGGATCCGACGCAGAGGACCGCGTGGGGCATGAAGACACTTTGAAAGTAATTCACTTAAAAGTAATTTGTCCGAGCCAACTAACATTCTAGGAATTTTTTTATTTCGTTAATATTGATTTATGTTTGGTCGCATTTGAAATTGCAAGTGATCGTTAAGCTGCTGCAATTTAATGTTATGTACACATAGGACTACGTGTGATATTTTGCTGTACTTTATTTAATTGCTTTTGTAATTTTATTGACCCAGGTCACTCTTTGCAAATTAGACTATATTGGTTTCTTGAGTTCTAACCTGGTTAGTTAGACTATATAGTACATATACAAACGTTATTGTGCAGCAGAGGTGTGTTTATAATAGATGTTATGTTATCTACCAGAGTGCTAATGGCAGGGCATGTTCACTGGTTCAAATATTACCTTCACAATACATGTATCGAATCCTGCATCTCAGAATCGATTATTTACGATTCATGCAAGTTATATGTTGCGAAACAAAAATTGGATTTTATCTGTGTACTCTGGTTTCTTCCCAGTTCCACACAAAGCACTTGAGACTCAGCGAATCTTTCCTGTATAAATACAAGTATTTATCTTCTTGGTTCTTTCGGTAAAGTCACGTAGAAGGGAAATAATAAAATAATTAAAATAAAACATTATAAAATAATTATCACGACTTTTCGGCCACAACGCAAGCAGCCGTCCTCAGGTGAAGAACAGGTCTGTCGGAAAGACAGCGTCTGAATGACAGACCTGTTTCTTCACCTGAGGATGGCTGCTGTGGCCGAAAAGTCGTGAGAATTTTATTTTGTTTTATTTTTATTATTTTATTATTTCCCTTCTACGTGACTTTACCGAACGAACCAAGAAGATGAATCCCTGCAGTCACGAAAGCTTTAAATCGAAATACAAGTATTTACTTTTATCATTCCTGTAAAATTTGAATGACATCGCTGATAAGGTGCGTGCGAGTCGTAGAATCTTCAGAATAAAATCTCTTTCACCCCGACTAAGAGAGCAAACAAAGTGTCAAATACAAAAGGGTAAGTTACCTCCTCCTCCTTCTTGCGTTTCTTCTCGGCTTCCTCCTCGTACTCGCGCTGGATTCGTTCGCGCTGTTCGGTTAGACGTCGCTCCTCCCTCTCCTCCTCCTCTCGGATCTTCTCACGCTCCTCCGCTTCCCGTTTCCGCTTCTCCTCGATCTGGGCAAGGTGGACGAAACAAATCGTCTGTTGCTCGCACGTCGGCTTTCAATTAATCGTCTCTCAAGCTCTCGCGCGAAATATCCCAGGTGGATTTGAGGCCTTTATGCAATGGTGAATTAAGAAAGGGCCGTAGACATCACTGTATTGTGGGGATGATGTATGATGTACAGACTAATTGTTTCCACCATTAACATCATACATCTTCTTTCAAAACAATATCCTGAAGCAGAAGATTAGTGTTGGATATAGTCACATTTGCGAATGTGATTTATAACTTTGATCATTACGTGTGTATCGATAGTTTAATGTCCATTTGCCATTTCATTCAGAAACTGTGCGTTATCTTGGCGTGTTCTGGGATTGTTTTGTTTTTGCTGTCTTACTCTTTGGTTCTTTCGGTAAAGTCATGTAGAGTATAAAATAAATTAAATCACGACGTTTCGGGCGCAACACGAGCGTCCGTCATCAGGTGGGACAAACACAGCAAGAAACAATTGCTGAAGTGGGCAAAAGGAGCTGCTGTAACTAGAGGCCTTATAGGCAAGAGAAGTGGGGGAGGAACCAGGGAGGAGAGACAGGGAGGGTTGGGGTGTGGGGTAGGAGGAGTGGAGGCTACAAGTAAGACGCAAGCACAGCAGAAAAGGCCAGGGTGGGGAGGGGAAGTGGGCGGGGCTGGGAGTGGGAGGGTTAGGAAACTGGAGATGCGGATATGAAGGCAGGCCAAAAGCAGTTATGGTTTTACCAGGTTAATAACATCCTTCAAATGATTGCTCAATCTGTATTCTTAGGTTTTTTCGGTTAAGTCACGTAAGTAAAAACATCAAAATAAAAATAAAATAAAAATAAAAATCACGACGTTTCGGAGGCAACACAAGTCTCCGTCATCAGGTGGGACCGTCACAGCCGAATTAGCTGCATCAAGTGAAGCAATGATTCAAGATGTAATCCCTTATAAGCAAGTTGAAGGGAGGTGGAGAGGGGGGGGGGGGGGTTGGAAGGATGTCGTTCCTGACTTACAGTATCCTGGAGTCTACAAATTGAGTTGCATTTGTGGTGATTGCTACATTGGAGAAACAAAACGTCATGTGGCTGATCGTGTCCGCGAGCACAAGTCAGATCTGAAACACGGCAGAACTGTTTCTTCGGCCGTTGCCGATCATTGCTACAACTCGGCGGGCTCTCATGAAATTGTCTTTTCCGAGACCAAGGTTCTCTGCAAACCTCCTGGCTACCATCAAAGGTTTGTACACGAAGCCATACAAATATACAAACACAGACATAATTTCAACCGTGATGATGGGTACAAACTCAGTAATCATTGGAAAGATGTTATTAACCACGCAAAAAAGACTTAATTACACTTTTTTGGACCATCTTATCTGACAGGCACTATTTTAATGTACTTCACCGAGTGTTAACATCCCCACGTGCAGTCTTTGATCACCGCTCACCCTCCGTCCCGACACGTTTCCATTCATTGTGTTGAGCACTACGTGATGTCTTTGATCACCGCTCACCCTCCGTCCCGACACGTCTCCATTCATTGTGTTGAGCGCTGCGTGCAGTCTTTGATCGCCGCTCACCTTCCGTCCCGACACGTTTCCATTCATTGTGTTGAGCACTGCGTGCAGTCTTTGATCGCCGCTCCTCCTCCCTCCCGATACGTTTCCATTCATTGTGTTGAGCACTGCGTGCAGTCTTTGATCACCGCTCCTCCTCCCTCCCGATACGTTTCCATTCATTGGCTACCACAGTCTGATAAGCTCTCCAACCCCCCCCCCCTCTCCACCTCCCTTCAACTTGCTTATAAGGGATTACATCTTGAATCATTGCTTCACTTGATGCAGCTAATTCGGCTGTGACGGTCCCACCTGATGACGGAGACTTGTGTTGCCTCCGAAACGTCGTGATTTTTATTTTATTTTTATTTTGATGTTTTTACTTACGTGACTTAACCGAAAAAACCTAAGAATATGAATCTTTGCAGTCACGAAAGCTTCAAATCTAGAATTAATGCTCAATCTGTATCCATCTTCCCGGTTGAAGTTATGTCTATGTTTATATATCTGGATGGCTTCATGAACAAACCTTTAATAGTAGCCCAAAGGTTTTGCTGTCTTGCCCAATTTTGATAAATAGGACTTGTATAATTAACGTGTTTATTTATATTTAGTGTTTGGCTTACCATTTTATCTATTTTGCACTCAGACCGTTTTTGAATTGTTTGCTGTTCACCCCCCCACCAAACTGGACATCTGAGAAAAAAAGCTTCATATCTCATCGGATTCCTCCTGCAGTCTACATAAAAGATTCTGATCCTGTAATGATTATGAGGAGAGCACGTGTTGGTGAATGGTTAACCTGCTGCCTAAGGAAGTCCTTGTACCGCTCTTGCTCAGCGGCTTGCGGAGGTAGCGACGGGTCCAAAAGTGTGCCCCCTCGCGGTGTCTGCCTACTCCCATCTCCGTGCACAGCTGTGAAATGGGACGGCAGAGGTGTTATACAAGACCGTGCAAAATTGAAATGTATTCAACTTAATATAAATGCCGATGCATCTCAAGGCGTTAAATACATTTTTTGCGAAGCTCCCAGTTCAGTGAGAATTATTTTACTTGGCAAGAAAGCGACAAGCAATTGCAAGAGAGAAAGGGACATAAACACAATGATAAAAACACAAAATAAATTAGGAAACGCACCGAAAATTCAATACAATAGTTAATCATTCCAAAAAAAAAATATATCGCTCAAGAAATGCACATATACACAGCAGAAGGTAAATACAATGAAAAAAACATGTAGAAAATGTGTTATTTAAATTATAACGCACTTAAACGAAGATGCAATGAAACACCAAAAGCATTATTTTCTTTTCAATACACACCTAGGCTGCGGTAAAAACATATTTATAGGTTAGAATATATTCACAATTGAAAATGCTTTGAAAATTATCATCACTGGTAATAATTGCTGGTTGTACAGCGGAAAATATGTATTAAATACAGAGGCAACGTGAGACCGGAAACCTAGAGGCAGCCTTAGTATCCCGCTCAACATGGAGGCAAGGGGGCCACCACTGCTGTGCGAGTGCGTACCTGCGTCGTCAGGTGTGCCGGGACGGTGGTCGCCGTGGTTGTAGAGTTGTGGATCGAAGGAGGAGGGGGTGCCTCTTGAGTCCGGCGCCACACGGCGCGCCGACTTTAGCGGGTTGTGCACCGCAGCCTCGTTCTGCCGCCGCATCTGCTTGAGGTCGGCTGCACAGATGGGCGATACGGCTTTCTGTCGCTACCAGGCACGCAATGGTTCACCCTCCGCCAGAAATTCACCAGATGCTGATCAGAAAAGTTCTTCCCATTTTCAAGAATACAAGAAGGAAGAAACATGCTTGAACAGGCAAAGATGAAAATGCTAAGATGGATGTTGGAAATATCTGTCAGAGAAAAGAGGAGGGTTTAATAATCTGAGTGAGCATGAAAGGCAGGTTAGACACAGATGGTGTGGGCATGATGTGACACAATGAGGATGCAATTAGAAGGCTATGGCGATGCCGGTGCAGGGAAGGTCGGGGACCGAGGGCAAAGATAGAAGGATGCCGTGGAACGAGATACAAGAACAGTGGTTGTGATGAGAGAAGAGGTACAGAAGTAGAAGAACAAGGATAGAGTTTATCCGAGCATCAGAGAAGGAGAATTTTAAAGATTCACCCACATGACAGGTGACGTTGGAAGCCCCGCACTCACTGACAAGGTTGCCGTGGTCATCGCGTAGGGGAGCCCCTCCGCCTCCCTTGCCCCAGGGGTTGTATGTGTTGGCCTCCGCCTCCAGCCGCGCATCCTGCCGGTCTCGCTCCATCCGCTCCCTGCGCTTCTTCTCCTCCGTATCCTTTATCTGCCGCGTATATTCCACGCCGGTCACGCAAGGCCAGGTCAGTGGCTCATGACCCCACGCACGGTGGTCGGGGGGGATAGGTCAGCCAGAAAGCAAGTCGATGCTCAATTGTTCAGGTTGTTGCCCCACAACTTCTGCCTTTGCTAGAGATGTAATGATTTGTTGATTAACATAACTTTGTTGGAAAAGGTGGGCATACCAAACTTTTACCCCACCACAGACTACCTTGCCCATCAACTGGCAGTGGTGTACCCAATTATACTGCTGGCTGGGCCTTCAAAATCCGAGGGCCCGGGCTGCACCCACCAAAGCCTCACCGATACGTCTTACCTGCCTTTGCAGATCCTCCTGGTATTTGTTGAAGGAGCCTCTCCTCCCCTCAGTGTTGTTGTTCGTTTCCCCGAGTCCACCGAGGCCGATCGTCAGCCCCGGGAAGCCTCGTGGGAGCTGCGCAACCTCGGGTGGCGGCCCTAGGACTGTGTTATATTGAGCCTGGCCCAACGCGGCCTGCGACCAAGTACTGGACACACAGCAATTGCACGAAGAGACAACAAGAGGAACATGGGGATCAGCTAACAGAGCAGAACAGTGGAAACACTATTCTGGAAATTACTTCGGCATGCTACATCCATCTCTCGCCTTATTTTGTGACAACAACGGTGAGTCATTGCATCTTGTTTGTATAAACCTGTTCATAATATAGGATTACTCAGAATACGTGCATGTTGTACTCTGGTGGTAGTGCCTTACACCTATAATCCCAACTCCAAGCCAGCCTAGAGTGAGAAATTAAGCCTTGTAGTGCGGTATGAATATGTGCCCAAGGCATTGGATAGAGAAGCAATTACAGGCAGAATAGATAAGGCATTAAGTAATGGGAGGTCATGTGCAATGTGAACAAGCAAGAGTTCAGACCCTAGTAGTAGTAGATGAGAAGTGATAGCCACACAATGAGCGCAGCATGACTGGGGTGGCCACAGAAAGCCTTGGTTAAGAAGCATATATCAGACTTCTGGATAAATGATATTATCAGAATCAGAATATTTATTTATCCTGGAAGAATCTGATAATCTATGAAGCTCTTTTTCACATATGTCCAGTAGGGGCAGGTAAGAATGTTACAAAAACAAGTAATTACAAAAGCACGATAGTAGGAAAATGTACAAGAAAGGTAAACAAATCACCCAACAACATAAAAAATGAAACTAAATCAAATCCATTCTACCTGGCAAAGCCTGCCGATGAATTAACTTGTTTTTCAGAAGTGACCCGGCCACAAATGATGGCTCAACAAGGTGGCTTATGATTTGGACATTTATAGCAACAAAACAATCTAAACAATTTAAATGCATATTTCTAAATGTGGAGAGAAAAACGGAAGACCCGGAGAATTGTGAAACCACTCACCCCGTGAGAGGCAAGCCCATGTTTTGCTGGGGTGGTAGTGCCGCCTGCGGAGGGTGAACGCCCCCGTCCCACTGGTTGGTGAAATTCGCCGCAAGAGGAGGGCCGTTGACTTGACCGTAATAGGGCAGGGGCGGCTGACCTTGACCGAGGCGCCCAGGTTCAACTGCAGTGTGAAAATGAGCATGAGACATGATCAAATAACAAAAGTAACTAAACACATTCATCAATACCACTGCCGTAAAAGAAAACATGTTAGGTGGCCTCTTCTTGGTTCTTTCGGTAAAGTCACGTAGAAGGGAAGTAATAAAATAATAAAAATAAAACATAATAAAATAATTCTCACGACGTTTCGGCCACAACGCAAGCAGCCGTCCTCAGGTGAAGAACATGTTTTTTTTTTTACTCTGTCTTATCGACAGACATGTTCTTCACCTGAGGACGGTTGCTTGCGTTGTGGCCGAAACGTTGTGAGAATTCTTTTATTATGTTTTATTTTTATTATTTTATTACTTCCCTTCTACGTGACTTTACCGAAAGAACCAAAAAGATGAATCCCTGCAGTCACGAAAGCTTTAAATCGAAATGTTAGGTGACGTTTCGGGCATTGGACCTTCCTCATAGCACGGTCACATTTATTAGACAGTTTGATCAGACTGAAGTTTTAAACATTCACCATGAGCAGAACATACAAGCAGCACAATGTTGTAGAGATATAGCACGAATAGCACTGTTACAGCAAATTTACATCTTGTGGTGAAGGTTTGTGAACTGGACACTTATTGCACATTGGGATCAATCTGGCGGTAGATAAACACAAAACGTCAGTCATAGTCACACTATACATGGATAATGGTACTTTACACAGGAGCGCCAGTTGTGTCCAGACGGGGGCAGCACTTACAGGTGGTAACGTTAACAAAACTGAAGTTCTTATCAATCTACAGGGATAGACAGGGGTGACAGTGATGCTTCAGATGATGGCAAGCGCATTCAGGGAAAGGATGGCACCAATTCACAGACAGCATCAAAATATGGGGGGGTAGCAGATATGTATAAGACGGTGGTAATAAGTTTCATGGTGGAGGGCAGTAATGCACAACAGTTGTAACAACATGGAAACGAGTGGCAATAACGCAGGCGATGACAGTAATTTACACAAGGGGCATTACTATTGTGCAAGGTGGGTGAGGGTGAAAGTGATGCAGAGGAGACCGTAGTAATGTTCAGCGACAGATATTTGCAGGGGGGGGGGGGGGGGGGAATGAAACCAACGTACAGGGTGGCAAGCCAGGCTCCAGTGGATTATGCACGGCATAGTAGTAGTAGGCTGGGTCGTACGGTGTGGCGAAAGATGCCGGATAAAACCGCCCGCCAGGCCCAGGTAAGGCGGCAGTGCGGGCCCCCTGGAGGCCGTTGGTATGGCGATGAGCAGCGGCGTCATTCTCGTTGTCCAGGGGAGGAGGCGTGTGGAAGGCGCGGCGGGGCCGGTCCGGGGGCGGGATGTCTTGAGGCGGCATGGGGAAGCGCGGCCGCTCAGTCGTACCGGAGCCCAACATTTTCAGCATTCGCAACGGCTGCGGGGGATCCAGAGGAAATGGAAGTGGGAGGAGGACGAGGTGGCGGCAGGGGTGGGGATCGGAGTCATGTAGAAGATGTGGGAGATCGGAAGAGCGGTAAGAACCGAAGGAGGGAAGGAAAGATGGTGATTTTGGTGAAGTGGGATGGGGAAAAAAACAATTTGGGAAGAAGAGTGCAGTGTGAGAGAGGAAAGGAAAAAGAGTGTGAGGAATGGAGGATTGGACAGATTACACATGAGTGAACAAGACCATTAATCAATGCGAGAATAGGGTCAGAAGAACAAAAGGCATAGAGCCAAAGGTTAAATGGGGAGAAAAGATGGCAAATTCAGCTATTTGTTTAGGAGCATTGTTAATACTGAAGAAGACACAGACTGCGATGCATATGTCACAGCAAATCACATTTGTGGATTCGATAATCCCCGACATTGAATTTGTCACTTCAGTCGTGCACAAAACCCATTACCTCATCGTCTGCGTCCTGAAAGGCAGTATGCAAAGGGGAATTAAAGGCTGCCATAATTAGGCTTGGACAGTTTTTGGTTCTTAACACATGGAGATAGAAAAAAAATATTAATAAAAATTCAAGCAAAAAACCACGATGTTTCGATCGCAACACAAGCGGTCTTCATCAGGCGGAGAGAAAAGAGGCATCAAGCCTTCAAATGCAACTGCTTATAAGGGTTCATATTCTTAGGTTTTCTCGGTAAAGTCACGTAGGTAAAAAAATAAAATTAATAAAAGTAAAATAAAAAATAAAATAAAAATCACGACGTTTCGGAGGCAAACAAGCTTCCGTCTTCAAGTGGAACCATCACAGCACGATAGCTGAATCAAGTGATACAGCTATCGTGCTGTGACGGTTCCACCTGAAGTGACGGTTCCACCTGAAGACGGAAGCTTGTGTTGCCTCCGAAACGTCGTGATTTTTATTTAAATTTTATTTTACTTTTATTAATTTTAATTTTTTACCTACGTGACTTTACCGAAAAAACCTAAGAATATGAATCCTTGCAGTCACGAAAGCTTCAAATCTAGAATGCTTATAAGGGTTTTCAGAGTGAGCAAAGCTGTGCGGCTGTGTGGCTTTGCGATCGAAACGTCGTGTTATTTTGCTTTAATTTTTATTTTTTTATTTTCTATCTACGTGACTTTACCGAAAGAACCAGCAATATGAATTCCTGCAGTCACGCAAATTTTAAGGCAAAATTTTACACGTGGACTTTGTGCATTCATTCTTCAGCCACACATTAAAATGCACTTAAATGTTTATTAATTTATTTCCTTATAAATAGTCATAACATAGTTTGCATAAACATTATTTTGCCAACAGTCAATGAAATGTAAATGTGCAAAAAACTGAATGAATTTGAAATGTGCACAAGACTGGCGGTCTAATGCAATGAAACACTGAAGAAAAAAAAATGGTGCGATATCATTTGTTTATTCAGGAAAGCTCCGCTGAGTCTCAAGACTTTTTTTAGGAGGGTCCTGCATTAGGATGTTTGGAAAATCCAAGTTTACGGATTACTTCGTAGAAGAAAACCAGAGTATCTACAGACAACTGTTCTGCCACCGCCTAGCTTCCTTGCAGAACAGCATGCTTGGGAGTTTTCACCAATTTGCACTATCACCCGACCCTTGCATGGAAAGCACTGGATGTTGTGTGTGCACCCCCAAACCCAGAATTTTTTTAAGGTTTTTCAACTAAGGTTAAAAGCATTTATGCATATAGCTGTGTCCGTCCATGACATGTGGGGCGCAATAACTTTCTGAAAGAAGAGCCAATGTGCACCAAACTGTAGTATAATGTTGTGTTGATGTTAAGGACTTACCCTAAAGAAAGAAAACTGGTAAAAACATTCAAAAAGTTGCCAAAAACCTGGAGATGTAAACCAGTGCAAAATGGTCTACGTTAAAAAAAGATAACTGTCGGCTTCTGCACCGCTAAAAAATACGTCTGAGAACAAGCGTATGTTGGAAAGTCTTCCATAATCCACGTGTGTGCAAGATCTTTTAAAATATTTGTTTAAGTCCGTGTGTGCATTCTTACATCCTTCTGAGGGTCCACTACTCCCGATACTGGCACGGCCAGGTTCCATTGCTTCTCCCTAAAAAGAAAACCACATATTAATAATTGCTTTACAATACATGCGTACGTATGGTCATTTCTCACATCGTGAAAATACAGAATGGGGCACAGAACCAAATAATCAAAAAATGTAACACAAGCCATTGGCCCATTACAGTTTAGAAAAGTTATTCCACAACAGTGTGGCTCAATACATGTGAGCCCATTTCATCGCCGTGTCCAATATGTTTTCATATTCTTGGTTCTTTTGGTAAAGTCACGTAGAAGGGAAATAATAAAATAAACTAAATAAAACATAATGAAATAAAATTCTCACGACGTTTCGGCCACAACGCAAGCAGCCGTCCTCAGGTGAAGAAACAGAGCTGTCGGAAAGACAGCGTCCTAATGAACACTGCTAAGCTTGGCAGCGTATTTTAAGCTGGGTGAGAGGAGGACAGCGCCTTGACAAAGGAGTTTACATATCAACAGAGGAATTTAGCATATTGATGACAAATTAAATTTTGATTATTTTATTATTTCCCTTCTACGTGACTTTACCGAAAGAACCAATAATATGAATCCCTGCAGTCACAAAAGCTTTAAATCGAAAAGTGTCCAATATGCTTATTTTTCTGTTACCATGGCATTATTCATATATGTATGTTGAACAACATAGCACGGGTGTATTGATGCCTCAATCCGTACAATTATATTGATTCTCACAATCACGACACATGCATCATATTGTTTGTGTAAGAATCATGTTATCAACATAACGATTATGAAATCGAATTGTAACAATGAATTGAATGGCATGGCGATAAAACGCTACACCCCAAATACACAGCACTCTTATTTGCACTCTCAACGGCAGCCAGTCAACACATACTCGTTGCACGTCCTTGGGCTCCTGACCGCACGGCATAGGGAAAAGAAAAAAAAATTAACAAAAAAACAACTCCACCAATATGAGTGACACTTTAACTTTTTGTAATTAAAAAAAATCCCCTTGTTTTCACAGCCGGCATTCGTAGCCAACGGTAAAATCCTATCACTAAAAACCTCAGCGGCGAAGCATTAAATTAAACTGTGCCACAGCTGCCACGGTGGATTCGGGCACTCGTGGCTTAGGCCTTCGCTTAAGACCGTTCTTCCCGCGCGTGCTGTGCGCTACGTTTACTTAAGAAATGTTTTGATCCAGCCAGGTGGCTCAGTAGCAGAGCAAGCGACTCAAAATTAAAAGGGTGCAAATTTTCATCTTGGTTGGGGGTTGACTCAGCCATTCCCCACTGAGCACCCTCTTTAAGAAAGGCCGAGATACAATGGCATGTCCAATGTAGTTCATATGTGTGATCATTGAAAACATATGCGAATAGATTTTTTTAAATCGAACCGTCCACTATGACTATTTATACAAATGTAGTATTAGCAGCCATGGTGATAATACTGTTCTACAGGCTGTGGACAGTAACACTCGTAAATAGCACCAATGAAAACAAATAAAATCAGTTTAATGTAAGTGGTTTTAGATTTATGCAAAAGATATTTGTTCCAAGTCTGATAACAATAAATAACAGCCTATGGGAATCCACTGAGCGGAGCAGTGGTGCGGTGGTATAAGGGCATTGTGCTATGAATCCAGCTGAGTTCATGTCCTGGCTATGGTTTAACAGCAGTAGCGGGTACAAGTGAACCAGTCCTGGCATCTCCCCCCACCACTTTTCCGACGCAAAGCTAAGTAGGGTCAAACAACACCCATAAGTATCATGGCCATGGGGAAGCCTTCATCCAGTAATAGATTGACCAAGTACAGCAAAACCTTGGATTGCGAGTAACTTGGTCTGCGAGTAATTTGCAAGACGAGCAAACATTGTAAATAAATATTAATTTGATAAACGAGCGAGGTCTTGCAATACGAGTAGTACGTATGCGCTTTGTGTGCCGAGCGTCACGTGATCACAACTGATATACGAGTGCTTTGGATTACAAACACGTTTTCGGAACGAATTATGCTCGCAATCCAAAGTTTTACTGTACTGCGAATTATTATTTCAATCATTTTTTAGACTTTTCATTACTAGTTGCCTTGTTCCTACCTCAATTTGCATTCTAGCATCCAACATAAAGCAATTAATTCGACCGATAACCCTGCACTCAAATCACTCGAATCACGAAGTTGTATCTTCATGATGATTTTATTGCGACTGTGGTGCCACGGCCGTGAAGCAACTCTGCAAGCGCCGCGACTCCCCCCTGGCCCCACGCTGAGCACACACACTGAGCACCTGAGCACCCACACGCAGCGCACACATGTAGTGTCCTGGCGGGGGATCGCCTGGCGTAACGTGTTTTCATCCAAAGGGTCCCTATGAGGAAAGTCCCACGGTTTCCCCGTGCCATGAGAGTGGCCGACCCTCGCAGGATAGATCACCTTGCGGTGCCCCCGAGTTGGCTTAAATTGTATGGGCGCAAAAATAAAAGGTTCACTGGGCCAGCCGCAATGAGTTATTCACGACATCGGGAGGGACCGAGGGTGGAATGTTAAGCAAGAAGAGCAGATCATGAGGTCAGGAGAATCGCAGCGCCACTGCCGCCCATCTCGACCCTCATACCGAATACACACTCGCAGGTACACACTCGCAGGGTGTGTGTTCGCCAGCCGGGCGCCCTTCCAGACAATGAGCAACGAGGGATAATGAGTGGCCGGCGCTGCCACCGCGGCACTCCACGGAGGACACGTTAACAGGGGGCGGTAACCACAGGTAAGCGAACGATTGGCCGCGTGGTACGACGTCATCCCGGGCCTTTGAAGTTAAGGGAATAAAAAGAGTAGCCCGGGATGATTTTCGCTCTCTTGTCTTCAACCTCTGGGTCGCTAAGACCCACTCCCTGTCGTCCTGCCTCCTCGAGCCGCTCACAGCATCTGTGTGATGCCAGCGAGTGCTGCTACGAGGCAGTGATAAGTAAAGTTTTCTCTCGTCCTTTTCCGTCCGCCTCTCACAGCGTCCATGCGACGCCGCGAGTACAGCTCCGAGGTACGTGGTAGGACGTTTGAGTGACTGGGCACTTAGGCAGCAGTAGGCTAGGCTCTTCTCGCAAAATATTCCCCCAAGTAGTGTGTATTTGCGCCGTGAAGTTAGCACGGAGCATCGGTGTGGTGTCTGTGATTTGTGTGTGGAGCGACTGCGTGGGAAAACGCGCTGCGAGAGTTGACGCAGAGCCGCGGCACGGGCGCGCGGTGAGGTAATCGCTCGCAGGTGTGGGCGTACCGCTGTGCGCCGCGTTAGCGTTGGCTGTGGTGTACGCGCGTGTTAGGAAATAGTCGCCCGCAGGTGCGAGAGCGTTCACGCGCCTGTGTTAGCTGTGGTGTGCACGGGTGTGTGGTTTAACTCCGTGCGGTGGTGAGCCAGCAGCACGAGTATGTCCCTCAGAGAGGGCGCTAGGGCGGTGGGCCCGATCACTCGGTCGGCGGGGACCCAGCGGGAGCCGACCGACGCGGTGGAGGAGGGAGTGGAAGGGGCGGACATCACGCCCCACCTGCCAAGTGAGGGCGGTGGGGTGGACTTCAGCCCCCACACTACTCACACCGTCATCGTTTCGATGAATTCTACACCTTGACAACTCCAACCACGTCAAGGCCTTGGGTCTCTCATCTGTACCGTGTTGAACCACAACACTGCAGGACGAAAACTTTACTATCTTCCTTTCGTACTCAAAATGCTCGATTTCAGAACTCTTCCATCGTCCCTTTTCCCAAGTTACACAAACCCTTGCTAATTTAAATAAACGTGTTCGTTCCTAACTGCTATCGTGTCATTAGTAGTTTTAGCTGTGATCAGGTTTGCATTATAGGCCTTCGGGCCTGTGTTTAGCAAGTGCAAATAAAAAAAAACTATCAACCGACAGGTAACATTTTTAAATACCGTATTCTACAGATTATAAGACGCTCCGGTAAGTAGGAAGCATCCCAAACTTTTGCTCGAGTCAATAAAAGTAGACAAATCTGGTCTCGCAAGACAAAGACGAATACAAAGATCCCCTGTATAGCCTTAACAGACTGTTGGTGGCAAGTGCTGTTAGCGAGCACATATGAAGGCCGGCACGTCACACGGGGGAGTGGGTGGCCAGCACCTACGCCGGGCTACCTTCGTCTCCCGAGTGGCGAAGTTCACACTTCGCATCAGGTACTCATTTGAGGCTGAGTCAACGTAGGGGAGGCCCAGGACCGATTCAGATAATCGTCACTGGTGTTGGCCTGCGAGTGGGAATCAAACTCGGATCGCCCGGTTCGTAGCGCAGCGTGCTCGCCGTTGCACTATACCGCTCCCCACATAGTCTCAAAAACAAACAAATTTACCCGCACCGACCGGATTCATTATAAGAAACGTACCTCCAACGTTTCCTCTCAATAATAGGCGGGTGGGGGGGAAGTTGTGTGTTATAATCATCCGGAGAATACGCTGCGCATTCGTCAACCTGCAACGAGTGTATTACCGCCGCTTGTTCTGCTCCCTCTCGGCCATCTGCTCCAGTAGGTCCAGGCGATAGCGTTCCTTCCTCCGCTTGTCAACGCTGCACCTACCCTCGTGGACTGCAGAGAGGGTGGAGATGGTGGCTGTGAATGTCACCTACGTCATGAATCACCGCACCACTGCTCCCCCCTTTGTTGCACTTAGAACTGTCACATTTTGATTAATATGTTTGCATTATTAATTCCTTTGTTTTGCCTTGTTATAGCATTTCATTTTTAATAACACAATAATTAAAATTAAAATACTGTAGATATGACAAATTGATTTAGTACTTACAAACTTTTTCCAGTATAATCAATGGCGAGGCAGTTATACGACATCATACTTTTTAATATATACATTTATTATTTAATTGCATACTGTGTATAATGGACAGCATGTGCATTATCAGAGGAATAAGGTGTAAAGTTGTAATAATTAGCAAACTTATGGCAGGTTTCATGTGGAGTAACTAGAGTGTGAAAACTTTTAAGTACACTTTATGCATACTGAAATTACAGCAAGCACTAAAATAATACAATAAAATTGTGAAATACAATTACAAAGCTATGGGAACTCAAATTGGGAAGATAATCATCATATCGGTAACATTAATGTTGAACCATATCATAAAAATAATGCTGGCAATCGTAGTACGAGACCAGCAGTACTCAACCCATGGGTGCAGGCTGCGGCATGGATATCATTTGGATAATTAACTAATCAATGGCTCAGTAGCCTCCTGTAGGCTAATGATGTGTCACTCTACTATATCCTACACTCGATCAAGTTTGAGCCACATATGAAGTTTAGTATCAGAGGCGCATGCCAACACATGTTGTTCTGGATGCAAGCCAGTGTTGCTATTATACGTAAAATAATTTTGCATCTACGAATAATGTCTGCAAGAGCTGCCGCTACCACGACTGCTCTGTGTGTGTATTTCTCAGTGGGGTATGTGTGAGACGAGGCTTCGTGGTTGGGCGATGGGGCGACCTACCAGGCAGGATGCCGTGGGCACGCGCGGGGGCGTGCATAGGCGCGTGTCGCGTGCCGGCTGACTTGGTGCGCTCCTCCCGTTCCTCCCGCTCTCCCACCGGTTCCGCACCGGACTGGTGCCGGGCACTCATGTGGCGAAGCCTTTGTGGGCATGCCCACAGGGTTAATATACGTGGCACATTTAAAAGTGTTTAAGTTATATCCACACCTTGTGATTAAAATTACAATAACACTTTGTTCTAAACACTATTCAGACAATACACAGACAGCTCTATATGTAACTAGTTAACTGTTCTTATTCTTAGGTTTTTTCGGTAAAGTCACGTAGGTAAAACATCAAAATTAATGAAAAAAAGGAATAAAAAATAATAATAATAAAATAATAAAAAATAATTTTGATGTTTTACCTATGTGACTTTACCGAAAAAACCTAAGAATATGAATCCTTGCAGTCACGAAAGCTTCAAATCTAGAATTAACTGTTCTTGTGAATTCATTCCATATGCCCGTGTAGAGGACTCAGTCTACCAGATTGACTGTTTCGTCTCATCCATACTGTGTGCATCTACTGCACTGCAGGTCACAACAACGCACTTACAATCACTCACCACACTGCAGGCCAAATCACTTCTCTTTCTGCTTTTTTGGTCGCACTGCTCGACTTCGAAATAACCTTCCGTCGTCTCTTTTCCAAAGTTCTCATAAAATTGCTCAAGTTCAGAAACGTAATTCAGGCTTATCTATTACGCATTAAATAGTGCTGTCTGTCGCTGGTCCCTTTATGTTTTGGGCCATTGGATCTGTGCACAGCAACCGTGGTTTTTACTAAAAAAAGAAGTTTTTTTCAACAAATTCGCTTCAGCTTCCCATTGCCGAGTGACTTTACAGTTCGATGTAATCAATGTAATCACGATAAACTAAAGTTTCCCCAAACAGCGTGTATAGTTTTGAGCAGCCAATCTGAAGCCATTTGTTGTAACTTTCTGACCTGCCCCTCCTGGTCATCTGTGAAAAAGAGCTTCATAGCTCATCGGATTCTTCCACGATAAAAAAAAAAGATTCTGATTCTGCTGATTATTCAGTCTCAAGACTATATCAGGAGCATTCAGTATTCGAATTTTTGGATAATTAAACTTTAATAAGTGCTTTGACATATGGGCGGAAACGGCAGGACTAAGATGGGAAGAAAAATAAAACGCACGCTGCATATTAGGGAATGACAATCAGAGGTCCGCACAGAAAAGTTCACGAAGCTGCTTGCATGTCATGAATTTGGAAGTTTCACACAGCTATGTGATCCACTAACCGTTGCCTCCAAAGCGCTGGACTAAAGCCACATGCCACAACATGAGAGTGTAATCAAATATTATTTTACAAAACGATTGCGCGATATCAGCAGAATGTGGGTATTAAATAAATGCATATATTTTTCTGAAATAAATAACATACGGTCCATCGACTAAATGACCTCTCATTACTTGGAGCGCCACATGTTCATGGAAGGCTCATGTCAACACCAGACAGGCCACTGGCATTTGTTTCATGAGCCACACTATGCTGATGAGACTCAAGGACTGATCCATGTAGCTATTTTGGCTGTTATTCCAACTATTTTTGCACAATGGCAACCAAAATTCCACATCAAATTGGAAACAATCCGCCACCACTCATCGAATAATTGCGGAATCGTCCAAATTTGATGGAATTTTCAACGATTTTGTAACATCGTCAATCGCGATTCGAACGCGTAGAGGGCATGGCACCTCATTCCGCAACGTTGTAAAAATCTCGATTTAAAGCTTTTGTGACTGCAGGGATTCATCTTCTTGGTTCTTACGGTAAAGTCACGTAAAAGGGAAAAAATAAAATAATAAAAACAAAACATAATAAAATAATTCTCACGACGTTTCGGCCACAACGCAGGCTTCAGGTGAAGAACAGGTCTATCGAGAAGACCTGTTCTTCACCTGAGAACGGCTGCTTGCGTTGGTTATTATGTTTTATTTTTATAATTTTATTATTTCCATTCTACGTGACTTTACCGAAAGAACCAAGAAGAAGTTGTAAAAATCGTTCCACGCTTATTTTCCAGCATCTGATAATCATTGGTGAACATACAATCTGACCGGTGTTTCCAAAACGCGTGGACCAAAGTCAACGAGCATTCCCCGCACTGTCGTCTCACCGGGCGGTCCAGGGATCCCCAAGTCCATCCTCGAACGAGACGACCCTGCCCCTCCGGTGCTCATTGAGCAGCTCCTCGTACGCCTCCATCGATGTCGCCGCATCCTTCTTGCGCGAAGAGGTCTCATCCTGCTGCAACCGTGCACCGTCAACAGAGAGACCCCAACGTTTCTTACTGGGGTTTCGCTGTAAGCGGTTCTCAACCCGGAATGGATGTTGTGCGGCAGAAATGTATAATGTGCATGGGGAACATACGTGCCATATCGCGGCAACAAAACACTTATACACAACTTGAAACAAATGCCTAAGGCACTGTATGGACTAGAGGCATGGGCATGTGATCTTTTTGCGTATTATGGCCTTCGTAACCTGGAAAAGGGGTTAAAGTTGTCTTATTCCCCTCTCTGTACCTGTTCATGTCTCCTGTCGGCATAGCCCCGCTCCTCAAGAAGCTCGGCCAAAGTTTCCTTCACGTGTGTTCGCGGCCTCTCCTAGTGCACGGCAATGGAATGAACAAGAACACACATAACAGTTAAGTAGGAAGTGCTGTTTTGATAATATACCTCCGATTACCACGGTTGGCTATGTATGGTGTGAAATAAGTTAAACATACATACATTAAATCTGAAAATGCTATTGAAATAATTGTTAAGTATAATAGCAAAACATCTAACTTTCTGTGCCCAAATGCTGTGGTAGTTTCCATCAAAGGTTAAAATGAGACTGTCATGAGTTTCACAATGATCTGGTTGCTTGGTGGGGCTCAAATATCAAGTTTGATTGAATGTGGATATACGTTACCTTCTCTAGGGCTTGGCTGGGAGATGTGGTATCAGTCTCAAATGCCACGACTCCCTTCGAGCGGAAATTCTTCTGCAACATAACAGCAGCATGCTCCTCAATAATATACCATGATGTAAATTAAACATACCACTTATGTGCTTTTAATATTCTTTGGTGTGATTATAGATAACTCTCGGTTCAGGTTAGTACAGACACTAATGTATGTCAGACTTTATAGAGTATTACAGATTATAGGGCTAACATATATTAGAGATTATTAGTAGTGTTTGAGTAAAAAGGCAATGTGCATTAACTGTAAGAACATCTTAGGCTTAGTTATCATCAGCTGTGGTCAATCCACTGCTCCATGAAGCCCCTCACAAGCCAATGCCATCTGTCATTCCTTGGATGCCACTTTGTAATTATTATTGGTCAATGGGCATCATCCCTTCTTAATTTTAGAACTTTCGTGATTGCAGGAATTATTATTTGGTTCTTTTTTTATCTTTAGACGTGACTTAACCGAAAGAACCAAATAATAATCATCCCTTCTAGTGACAACTCTTGCCCAAGAAGACACCACGGGAAGGAACTACGTGGACAGGAAACACGAACAGGTAAAGAAAGGGGCGTAATAATGTATTATCCCTTTTCCACTGGCACATCCAAGCTGAGCCAGCGTAGAGCCCTCACAGTACGCATGGGTTTCCACTGGCTATTTAGCTGTGCTGTGCTGGAACCAAACTATGATATGCTCACCTCCCAAGACATCTGGATATGGCTCAGGCCCAAACTGGCTTGACTTCTGCAGTGGCAATACAACCTGGCGTCTCCCGAGCTGCACCAGACTGATTTAGAACAGCCCCGCCATGGCTTTGTTGTACAGTGGAAAATAGGTATTAGAGCAGAACTACCTGACAAGGTTAGGGCAAGCCTTAGGACTAGTGTTGGTTTTGGGCCAGCTGCTACATACAAGATGGGTGCTGAGGGATCGTCGCAGCTCAAACCTCGGCCATGTAGCGGCGGTAATCCTGCCGAAGCTGCTCCTTCAGCTTCTGCTTCTTCTTCTCGTACTCGGCCCCCAGTGGCAGCCCGAGGGTGGATGAGTCATCTGCTCCCCGGGGAAACACACGTCACCGTTACCCGGGCTCCCGTCTCCCTTTGACACAGGAGAACATGCACTCCTGGTGGGATCACCTGGGCCATGCGTATGCCACACAATCGCTCCGCTGTTAGATAATTTCCATGGTAAAATGGTGACCTAGCTTTAACACATATTTAATAGATCACCACGTGAACTCACCATTATATTTCAGCTTGTCATTGCTTCCCCTTTGTGGAATGTTCTCCTTCATTGATTCTGATTCATGGTCCTGAATATGAGTGTGTTGCTTTGGTTGTGCCTGGGTTTTTTTTTCAAACAAAAAGAAAAAAGAATGATAAAAAAACTCAAACGTTGCTAAAACTAATAAATTATATGAATATATAACCCCTGCAAATAGAAAAACGTAACTCAAGTTTGCCCTACTTGTATGCAGTGCTCTAATCAATTGTACTTCCTAATTCCATTATTCGCTTAGCAACTTGTTTTATACTTGTGTGGGGTGTGATTTCAAGTAATAATGGTGATTGATGATTACAGATAAACAGCTTATACAATCAGCCCCCAGTGGCTCCTAATTATGTTCATTAAAGAGGATTTCCATTGTATTGCAGACTTTAAAATGAAGCAATTTAAAAAGTAAACGTTTTAATCTAAGCCAAGAGGCATATCTGCACATTCTGTTCTGTTGTTTCCAGCTGTGACAAATGGCAGTAAGACAAACAGAAAACGTAATTTCATTTGGGCAATGCACCTGCATCTCCATGTAGGGCAAGTCCCTTTCCAGCTGGGCCTGGTCGCGTGCAATCTTGGCTTTCTGCTCACGAAGAAACCGCTCCAGCTCATCGTCGTCCATTCTTACTGCACCAGAAGGACATGTCGCTAGAGTCAGCCGGGAGAAAAAACACAACTGCACATTTTATTTGGCTATTTTACAATGCCATCTTCATTCACCACCACAAAACATTAGGCAAAGTGTTTAATCCCAAAAAGATTCCCACCAATCAACAGTTTGAGAAAAGTGGAACTGAATCTGTAAACTGATATATGAAAATATATGTTAATGTTTTCGCCATGAGAGTGTAAAGTGTGATATTCTGTAAATATATCTATGCTCACTCTGTTCTGAAGAAGGGCCAACACGAAAATCATTAGCTCGATATATTGTTATGGTATAATAATCATCAGCCATGTTAAATCCACTACTGGATGAAGACCTGCCAAAGCTGTCACATCTCACAATCCTGCAATGTAATAATCCACCTAGCACCTGCATATGAACTAATTTCAATGCTCCATCTCCTTAATAATAATTTACAAGACTTTGCTAATCCGTTGCTGGTTGATGGCCAAGTACAACCGATTGGAAATTATAATAATGGTGGTTTTCATGTGAAATGTTATCAATTGTTTATAAAATGCAAGTGCAATGATTATGTACTCTGGGCTCAACCGATACAATTACACTTGATTCCGCAAACTTTGCTGCGAGACCTTTTAGGGCCACACACACATTGGTAGAGAGTGTTCTTGCTTTTTAACGGCACTCTCCCAGACCAGTCGGGGTATGAATTTGGACTGAAATTGGAAATTCCCTGGACACTGGGTGAGAACATAAGTGACCACCACTTGGCCACCACAGCCACAATGTTTTTTTCCATTGCAAAGTTCATACATTTTATCACAACTGGCATGCAACAGTTGTCAGATCATGATCATGAGATGCTCCCAAAAGGAAGACACATTGCTGACTTTGGTGTAATTTTGAAATTGAGTGTTTTATAATTGGGAGAATACGGTACTATGAAGAGCTGTCGTCCGAAAGATTATTATGAATGTGCTATTTTAAAATGGAGAGAGATGTATAATAAAATATTATTCTGAACAACTTGATTAAAACATGTTTTCTGGAAGAATGTATTTTCCAGATTATAAAATTTACCCCGAAGTTTCCTTAAAAATGCAAGGTAGAAAGTTTATATTATGGTATAACCAATCACACAACGATGGGCAAACAACGACACTGAAGATATGTCAGGATGAACTGAATCAAGAATACATAAATCCACAATGCGGTAAATGAAGTACTACAGAAGCATTATTATGAACACAAAAATAAGCCATCAATTTTGATACATAAAACCCAAAATGTTAAAAAACGAAGCAGCCCAGGTTTTCCAGGGTCAAGTACTATACGTGTGCAATGATGGATCAATTAATCAATTAAAATGAACTCTCACTCACATTCCATTCGTAGTATTGCATATGAGAATATGTTATTAATTATTTTCGCTAAATAATATGTGAATTGTATGCTACTTGGCCTCAACCCAGCCATTGCACCACGAACCCGATAATCGGAGTTTGGATGCCTGCTAAGGTAAAATGATATCTGAACCAGACCAGAGTTCCCACCAGCTTTACAAATCCACATTGTTCAGCATGGTTAAGTATGGTCAAGTAGCACCCATCACTGACATGGCATGGGAGGCCTTCATCCAGCAATGGATTGTATGTAAGTTTAACTTATTCTCGGCAAAAAAAGTAAAATAATTCATATACATAAACTGTATAAGTCTTTGGAGGGGCCAAAATTGGACATAGAGACACAAAAATGATAAACAAAGGAAATGTAAACAAGGAGAATAAACAAATTATTCTCAAATCAAATAAGAGACTCTAAATTGTGACTTAAAAAGATTGGACGGTGAACCATTACATGCAATAGTGCTAATGAGGCCACAGGCACTGATGGCCACAGCAGTCTGAATGAGTGACAGTCTTAGAAGTGGTTAATGCCACATTGGTGGGCCACGCCTGACTCGAGTGCCCTGGCAACCATTTAGCGTCTCCCGTGTCCAATAACATCAGCAGAATGTTTATTCCACACGCAGACACCAAGCATGCGGTTAATGTAACTCGCATTTATCATCCTAATTAAGCTCAACGTAAATTCGCCATACCTGTCAACCCGTATTCTTGTACAGGAGAACTTAATTTTCAGGTCTATACGGCGTACAGTCGTTTCAATACGGGCAAAAAACATTTGTGTCTAATTGTTTGATTCTCCCTTGCGATGGGACTTCGTACGATGAACGTTGAGATGTATAAGGGGCACGGGGTGACCAATAATGTCTTAATTTGTGTGTAATAAGGTAGAGACTGATAAGGGGTTGGCGGGTTTGGGGTGAGTGGAGGACTTCAAGCGCTGATGCTTGTGTGCGTTCACGTGTGACAGGTAATGGGATGGGTCTCTCAGTGTGCGTGTCACACGTGCAGTGCTTGGGACTCGTCGGGTTGACAGGGGTAATCGTGTTCTTGTATCATGAACAAATAATTCAATTTCGGCGTTACGCATGGCATTCATTAAAAACGTTGTCAAGCGACGCAGACGCTGTGACATGACAAGAAGACATAGGCATGACCGAAGACACTCACGCAATCAACAGGTCTCAATTGTCTGTGCCTGGAGCAGCAATGCCTTATACAATTACCACTCAGAAGTCAAGGCCACCTCAAAGCAGCTGTCAACCCTCTTCTGCAATGTGTTTCTTGCGAGGCTTTAAATAAATACAAGGTGCGCACTTCACGTAGACAATTAAATAGAGTTAACACAACTGTACGATGTGACGATTTAGTATTGATGCATGTCGTTTAGTTTGGAAGTCAACTGGCTTAAAAACAGACAATGCAATAAACAAATTAGCGGGTATGCAGTCGATATACAAGTACAGTATAAATAAATAAAAACTATTACAACTATGCAACTCTTGGCTCTATGACAACCGCTCACAAACACAGGTAGTCTACGTCAGAAATTGCCAAGACACAAAGACAACGGGGAAAATCACGAGTCTTACATGAAGTTGTTAGATAACACGATCGTAATTAAATCACTTTTAAACCAAACGCATTCCCAGTGCGCGTTCATAGAGTTTGCAGTTTGGGGGACTCCCGACTCCGAGGAGGCCTCGGTGAAGCCTTACGCCTTTCCTAGTCGGCCTGCCGGAATAGGGGCCCGCCTCTCCCGAAGGCCGGTGAAGGTGATACCGCCAGACCACGTCAAAAAAAATACAACATTCAACTTAAACCGCGGCGCACCTTACCGGTCGGCTAAACGTGGACAACTTACAAAGAATGATGCTGTTCGCGTAACCCCCTCTCCCGTTGTTATAACGGTTAAAGAGAAGAGAGAGTGGTGGGGGGGGGGGGAGGTGTGAGATCGACACGGTCGTGATGGACGCAAGTGGCGTCACCGGTCGCGACGAGCCGCTCTTTAAAGGGGCCGCGTTCCCGTGCGACGAGAACTGCCAAGCGGATCGTGGTTATCGCGATATCTGGATTATCACGATATGTGGATTATCGCGATATGTGGTTATCGCGATATGTGGTTATCGCGATATGTGGGTTATCGCGATATGTGGGTTATCGCGATATGTGGTTATCGCGATATGTGGATATCGCTATACGATACCGAGCGCGTGCCATTACACATTTGGACTTCGGAGGGCCTAACTTAGAAAATGTGTATTTTTAAGTCCTTTATATTAAGTTCGCTTGCTTGCGTGCTTGCTTGCTTGCTTAGGACCGTGCAAATCTTTCGGTCGTTTTTTAACCCACTTCCCGTGATCCAATCGAGCTGACATTTTGCACACAGACTCGTTGTGCGTGACAATTTATTTTCGTGAAAGAAATTTCCAAAATGTTACACTTTTTAGGAAAAAATAATTTTCATATTTAATTTAAAATACCAATGTGATAAAAATGAAACTCTTACTCAAGAAAAACAGAAATTAATAATTAAATAAAACCGATGCCACGCGTATAAAGGATTTATAGTGAAAAACTTTGTTTTTACGGGTTAATTTTTAAGTCCTTTATATTAAGTTCGCTTGCTTGCGTGCTTGCTTGCTTACGACCGTGCAAATCTTTCGGTCGTTTTTTAACCCACTTCCCGTGATCCAATCGAGCTGACATTTTGCACACAGACTCGTTGTGCGAGACAATTAATGTTCGTGATATATTTTTTCCAAAACTTGGCCATGTCCAGAAAACGCTGTGCTCAGCCAAACCCTAGCATAATCACGGGTGGCTGAAACTTGGATTTAAACCCAGGATCTCAGTGACACTGGCTTTGGCAATGAATGACATGTTATTACGAAAACAAATTAAATATTTAATTACCAATTGCTTAATACTGGCAGACAATCATCTGACCCATAGGTGGCAGCCATCTCAAGCCAGAGGACGAGAGGACTCTAGCCGCCACGCATATAAAGGATTTATAGCGAAAAACTTTGTTTTTACGAGTTTACTTATTTATTAGTCACAAGAATGTATTAGGGGTCGTCCATAAATGACGTCACGCGATTTTGGACGATTTTTGACCCCCCCCCCCCCTTCTCGTCACACGGCGTCGCAAAAAATCAGAACCCCCTTCAAATATGACGTCACAAAGCTCTGCCCCCCCCCCCAAAACCATATTTTGAAAATAAAACATGCTTCAAATCGCTTTAAACTATGGGGCCGTCTATAAATGACGTCACGCGATTTTGGACGATTTTTGACACCCCCCCTTCGTCACACGACGTCACAAAAAGTCAGATCCCCCTCAAATATGACGTCACAAAGCTCTGCGCCCCCCCCCCAAAAAAAAATAAAACATGCTTCAAATCGCTTTAAACTATTGTCATTGTAGTGCGTATTTAATGTGGCGCTGCACTCTGATGTTGTAAGAGAAAACATTTATTAATAAGTCGATTTAATTAAGTAGAATGTGTTGTCTATATTTATTTAAAGTTGCGCATTTTGATGTGATGTCACATTTCTCACCCCCCCCCCTCGTCACCAATCACAAATGTCTGACCCCCCCCCCCCCTCGGAGCGTGACGTCATTTATGGACGGCCCCTTAATAGATATAATCAGAATCTTTTATCTAGACTGCAGGAGGAATCCGATGAGCTATGAAGCTCTTTTTCACAGATGTCAGGTAGGGGCGGGTGTGGTGCTGGTGGTATGGTTGAATTGGGAGTTTCGTAATAACATGTCATTCATTGCCAGAGCCAGTGCCACTGAGATCCTGGGTTTAAATCCAAGTTTCAGCCACCCGTGATTATGCTAGGGTTTTGGCTGAGCACAGCGTTATCTGGACATGGCTAAATTTGTTAGATTAATCATATTTACACATGGGAATCTATCTATTTTCACAAAGTTTGATACATAGGCTTTCGCGACCAATATTATTCATAATAAAGGTTTTTTGGGTTAGACATATGTGAAAAATAGCTTTATAGCGCATCGGATTCCTCAAATGTAAATCCATATTCTGATTCTGAAGTATAAATGTGTCGTTAAGCCGCGACAACCCGACACAACCAAATTTAGTAAAGTTTGTCACGTAAACAAAACGTGCTAATTAGTTACCACTGGTGTGTTGGAGAGTAAATCCGCAACATACTGACGGGATCTAACCCAAAAACCCTTTATTATGAATATTTTAATAAATGTTATGTTCCTTTCAATTAATCCAGGGTATTATTGAAGACATATGTCCTCATGAGGAATAAGGTTGACAATGGCCAATGGATAAAACATTGTACAAGAGGGTATTCGACCGTAACATTTGAGATATGTTGTTGGTTCTAGATTTGAAGCTTTCGTGACTGCAAGAATTCAAACTCTTAGGTTTTTTCGGTAAAGTCACGTAGGTAAAAAAATACAATTAAAATTCATAAAAGTAAAATAAAAAATCACGACGTTTCGGAGGCAACTTTTATTCATTTTATTTTTATTTTTTTACCTACGTGACTTTACCGAAAAAACCTAAGAGTATATGTTGTTGGTATTTAGGTCAAAAAGGGGGGCCCCTCCAAAAAATCATTTTTAGAGCCCTCGATGGGCCAGCACCATCAGCTGGATGAATGCGTCTGAGAAACATGTTGCAATGTTATTTTCTATATCAATGTCACGTGAGAAAATATGAGAATGCAGTAAAATTGTGGGTTTGGTGCAAACGAAAAAAAAAATCACAGCATCCTATTTTTTCCACCAAATTATCATTTCTGAAACCCCCATAGCAGCTTGCGTCTGCCAAATGTCCCCACTATCTTTTAAGTGTGGGCATTTTTGCAGTCCCGCTTCTAAAATGTCCTTCGCTGAGCTATTAAAAATGCAGCCGTACGTGGGAAGCATTGGCCAGCAGGATGAAATACGGAGCGTTTTATCAGGCTGAGTGGATAAGGCTCGTCCAATATAGCTGGATGTGCGGCGCCAAACAATCTGTGGGGTATGGCACAGGGCTGCGTGTAGAGGACGGACCCAAGGAAAAACGAGTGCGTGCAGGTCCCCGCTCCGTGTGGTCATTACGATTCGAATAGCGCACAGAGCAGGCAGCGCAAGAGCTTTAAACCGCACGTAAGTGTACGACGCACGCACGCACGCAACTCAACGAATGTGCATTTGTATGGAGTATGTTGCGAGTTGCAGCGCGTTTATTGCTTGTTGCAGAGGCTCGCAGTGTCAAGAACCTAAGCCGCCTTGGTTAATACTGCCGGTGTTACCAAAAAAATACCTGACGTTTGTTTCCCGTGATGTTATTCGAAAGAGGCCACGGGTGCATAAAAAAATTACCGCAAATTGCAATTTTTAGTGAAACTACGTAGTATTCTTGCCCCTATACAACTGTGAAGATTAACACCCTTGTAATCGCCTTGCACAATAAGAATAGCGCAAATGCCAAACGTAGCGTGTTCATTCTTTATTATAATTCCACGGTAACGGGATTACAGCAAGGGATCTTCATTTGGAAATATAAAGTATCTAACGCTTCTGAGATGGCAGGTTTAGTGCGTTGCATTAAACGCCACGTCTGATGATTGCATTGCTCTTTTAATTCTGTTACTTTGGAATCATCCATATGTGCTGTATACATGAAGCTGTGCAGACGTTCCATGTTGTTTTTAACGTGGTTTTGGTTATTATCCTCGTTCTGTCCACTCGTGAATGAAAGCTCCTGTTGGTCTCATTACGTGCCGTATTATAACACACTGAGATACACGAGTGAATATGTAAAGGATCACTTTGAGCATTTTGTAACCACGGATTTTGAGCACCAATGCCTGTAGTCACATTTGATCGAGATTTGCGATTGGGGAAGTCACCTGAACAATGAGGTTTCAAATTAAACCCTTCCGAGGACAAATGTGTGCAGAAACGCGTTACAAAATCCATGTGTATGCACACTTTTTTTTTGTTCAGATTGAAATATCCAACTTTTAGCTACATGGATCCCATCCATCCCGTCCGCACGGCCGGCCCCACACGCCAACCCTGCATCGGAGCGTGGGGCACACAGCGCAAGCGGACCACGCGTGGGCCATGCCAGGGCACCGGACCCACGCCGCAGCAGCAGCAGCAACAACAACAGCAACAGGGGTCTTCCCAGCGTGCGGAGACCCCCATCCCGAGGGGGACACGAGACTCGAACGTCGATAAGGAGTCGTCGGGTGCTAACAGGGAGCGGTCACGCGTGAGAGCCATGCGTGCCGCCTTCCTAGCGCTGCAGAAGAGCTTGCCAGCTGTGCCGCCCGACACCAAACTTTCCAAACTGGACGTGTTGCTACTGGCCAGTGCGTACATCGCGCACCTGAGCAGGACTCTTGGCGTGGAAACGGGTCGTCCATACGGTGACGGGGTTCCGCCTGCTGTCGCCGCGCCAGACCACGTGGCCAGGGAGTTCTTGACAAGGAGGGCGCATGGAGCCACCAAGGGGCCCCAGTCTCTTGATCAGGATAAAGAGCAAGCGGAGGCACGCGCCACGGGGAACTTTCCAGGATTTTTACACCCAATGAAGGTGAGGACTGCATTGGCTTTCAGGGTCACACAAAATGTATTTGGTCACCTTTTACTGGAGGTGGGCTTACTCACGCTTTACCCTACCTCATGTGACCTGCCAATTGACTGTGATGCACTAATTTATACTGCTGGTTGGGCAGAAGCAGGAGGATTTAATCTGCCTCGCTGGGAGATCGAACCAGCGGCCACTGGATTGTTATTTTTACATTCTAGAATGAGAGGTCTCTCTACTTGTTCTGTGCCTACCTCGTGTCTTTATAATATGTCTCTACTTATTGTACACATGCATCTGCTTTAACTTAAATACGAACTGTTCAACATTGCGTGTGATTTTGTTAATTTTATTTACTTTTAGATTCACTTCGTTTTAGTAACATGGTTTATTTATTCAGGAGAGTCCTGCATTGGACTATTTTGCCAATTGCTTTTGAAGCGTTTTAAGGAGTCGTTTGTTGTTGAGGGAGGAAACTGGAGTTTCTGGAGAAAACAAACGACATAGAAAGGGGGGGGTAACACTGAAAGCGTGTTGGGGATTGTCACACAAGTACATCATCTATCAACGCTTGCTTCCAAAGTGCTAGATTATGGATGCATACAGTATAACCACCACGCCTAGATCACTTGTCACCTCTGTGCTCATTTTTTTTTGTATTCTGTCGTTTGCATTTTTCAGAAGTGGCCAATGCGCTCTCGGCTGTACGAGGGGATTACCAAAACAGCAAGGCTTCCATCGCTCCAGAACTGCCAGGACGGAAGAGAGAAGGCCCAGCCAACCTTTCTCGCATGAGTGTTCATGTTCGACGAATCAATGCGCACTCATTGGTTCTTTCGGTAAAGTTACGTAGGTCGAAAAATAAATAAAACAAAAAATAATATATCATTATTATCACTCTGTAAAGGCATACTTGAATATAATTTGTGATTTATTTGTACTGTACGAGTGATTATACAATGGAAAACCGTTTGGAGTTTATTTTGTTTTATTTTATTTTTCTACCTACGTGACTTTACCGAAGGAACCAAAGAGTATGGATTCCTGCAGTCACGAAAGCTTCAAATCGAGATTGAATCGATGTGCCTGTCACTGCTATATTGCCATAATTCCTTGGGAAAAATCAATGTTAAGTATTGCCAGCATTAATCGACCTGATGTCAATTCCCGGCCATGCCTTGCATAGTTGGCAAGTGATATCAGAACCATTGTTGAGTCCCCCTTTGCCAACCTGTCATGAGCAGGGCGATCAAGTTTGGTCAAACAAGCCTCATGACCGACGCATCGTGCTGAGGCCTTAATTCAGCGGTGTATTGACACTATGCTTGTACATTATTATTACGTTGTATACTATTTACAAATAACGGGTTAAAATATAACAGTATGTTTATTTTTTTGCTGCCGTTGAGGATATTTTTTTTGATGTATTAGGAAATGCATGTTACGGTAACATTGTTATTCTGTATTATCCGGATTATAAGATGCTCCGGAAAGTCAGACGCGCCACAAACTGATGCTCGGTGTCAATCAAGTCGTAGAAATCTGGTGACACACCTCTGATTAGCGCGGTTGGCTACGCATGGTGAGGAAAAGTTCAACATACATACAAATAAAGCCTCACCGCTAACTTTGCGTTACAATATGGGGGGTGGGGAGTCAGTGCGTCTTACAGTTGAAAGAATATACAGCATTATTTGTAATCAACTTAATATTATGTAGGTTCACTGCAGAAGAAACGATGTTGTTACAATTTACACATTAACTCAAGCGTGCATTAAAATAAACTGTGTACACTCTGTATACGCATACTTGAATAGCATTTGTGATTTATTTGTACGGTTACGAGTGATTATACAATGTAAAACTGTTTGGATTATGCTAGTTTGGATACAAAGCTATTTTAGCGGTTCTGGCTTTGCATGCTTAAACAAATGTGTTTTACTATATATCAGGATAACGGAGTTCGATTCCCAACCGCTGCTAACATGATTGATATCTGACCCAGTCCTGCCCCTTCCTTTACCACCCTGCACTGACCAATGTGGTGAAGTATGGTCAAACAACCCCTATGACCGGCACAGCCTTTGTCCAGCAGCATCACGAATCTTCACAATTTTACAAACAAAACAACCTGAGATGTTGATTATGGAATGATGTAACAATAATAATGATTTACAGCCCTTAATCAATCCACTGCTGGATGGAGGCCTCGTGCTATGTAGAACATGGGGGTTGGTGAAGGGGTTTATAGTCCAGTGTACTAACCACTGCACCACCGATCGCCCCAATAGTGAGATATGTTGAGTTACTCAAGAGAAATACAACTACATTTGAGATTGACCTTGAAGTGCACACACTACTGCACTACTCTCTGTACCTAGCTAGGGGGGAGCAGTAGTGTTAGTGGTTAACGCACGTGCTGCACTAAGTATCTGGCAACCCGAGTTTGATTCGCACTTACGGTCAACACCAGTGACTATTATGTGAACCGGTCCTGGCCTGAACCTAGGTCGACTCAGCCTCAAATAAGTACCTGGTGCAGTGTGTAATCATCGCCACTGTGGTTAGACAAAGCCGGCCGGGAGTGGTGCTGACCACCCACCCCCTCGTGTGCCACGCCGGCCTTCATAGGTGCTCGCTAACGACACTTACCCCAAAAGTCTACTGAAGCTTAACGGGGGATCTTTGTCTTTGCATCTAGCAAAGGCTATGTCAGTTCACTTGCCCCTGGCTACTATCTTCACAATGCACACAAACTATTTGGGGAGTTTCAATCACAATGCCAAATAAAAAAAATCAAGCCCTGGCCTTGAAATATCAAACCCTGAATTTATGCAGTGGCCTCCCATCCTCGTTGGCTTCGGATAACTCAATTCAAACCCATTCCAGACCCCCAAGTCACTTCCTCCACTCCCCCTTTAATGCCGGGTGACTGAGCTTTAGACACCAAGACCCCTCCCGAATCCTGAACTCGACTCACATGGCAATTCATTATAAGCGTAATGGCTTATAGTTGCTGCACTGTGGAAATGCCACGACATACTTGTTATAAGATACTAGGGGTTGTTCTGGAGCCCATGTGGCACCCCTCACAATCATTGACGGCCTTCGGCCAGGAACGTCACGAAAAATTGCACACGAACGACGCATTCACGCAAGCACCCGATGCTCCGTTTTGAAGTTTTACAATTAAACATCTTCGAATTGTGTTATGTTTTGAATTAGATAATTGTATTTCTGCATTAAAAGCTTATACCATTTTACATCTGGAAGACTTCATTGAAAAGTACATTTCGTGTGAATTTTCTCTCGTCGTTAAGTAGATGGCCTTGCTGGGGGTTCGGTTCGATGCGGACTTTCACCTGTTTGGGATTGCGGGATCGAGATAAGGCGACATAGAGCTGCTGGCCATGCGAAAAGACCGCCGTCTGCAGATCGATTCCAATGTATTCGAACGTCTGTCCCTGCGCCTTCGTCGTTCATGCAGGGGGCGCGTAGGTTTGCAGCGCCCCCTGCATGAAAACGACGTAAAGTGCAGCGTTCATCACAGATAAAGTTGTGCGCTTATATAAGAGTATAATAATATAATATCCACGATCATCTACCATCCATTTTGATATTGTTATATCGCAATTATCGTGGCTCGTGCGAAATGTAATTACAAAATGTGTCAATATAGGAATTACAGATGCAATAAATATCCGTTATCCGCTCAGTAATAGCTAGATCAGAGGCGTCGTATTCATAGTTGATTGTTTATAATTGCTGATGAAGATGAGCGACTTGGTCCCTGTGTCACAAAGCTTCTCGCCACCTGGGAGGTGCGGGGAACTGGGTAGGGAAACCAGGCAAGGCAGGCCTGACCCCATAGGCCCTATTGGTGATGAGAACTTCTGCACTAACACTTTCAACTTCAGTTGGAAGGTGCAACATTTATATATTTTTTTGAGTCTGTTGACGAATGGGGCACAGGAGTCGAACTCAAGCTGTTGAGATCGTAATGCAGAATCTCCATTAATGAACCCAGCCGCTTCATGTCCCGAAATGAAACAAGCGGAGCCAGCATTTTCCAAGGACGTTTCAACCCCGGCCTTTGAAAGCCCAGGAACCAAACTCCTTTGAATACCTCCCCCGTTATCGCGAGATAGCCCTTCCTTTCCTCTCCCCCCGTTCCTCTGGCCAGGCAGTAAATCTGTCGCGTTACTTGTGGCTGCACTGGCACATGTATTGAACAACCTCCCAAACCCCCCCACCAAATATGTTAACTTGGCAGCAGAATAAACCCCAGGATGGACTGGAGTGCGGTACGTTATAATAATAAGACGTATTCCGTCTACGATCTGGGTGGGATGATGCCGTGGTGTAATGGTTAAACAACACTGCATGGGCTTTGCAATCTGGTCTAAAGTCACAGTGGAGTTGCAATCCAAGGTCACACTGAACTTCCAATCCAGAAGTCATACAACTCTTCCAATCTGGAAATCACACTCGACTTCCAATCCAGAGGTCATACCGCACTTCCAATCCAGAGGTCATACTGCACTTCTAATTCAAAGGTCACACTGAACTTCCAATCCAGAGGTCACACTACACTTCTAATTCAGAGGTCATACTACACTTTCAATCCAGAGGTCACACTTGACTTCCAATCCAGAGGTCATACTACACTTCCAATCCAGAGGTCACACTTGATTTCCAATCCAGAGGTCATACTACACTTCAAATTCAGAGGTCACACTGAACTTCCAATCCAGAGGTCATACAACTCTTCCAATCCGGAGGTCACACTCGACTTCCAATCCAGAGGTCATACTACACTTCTAATTCAGAGGTCACATTGGACCTGCAAACCAGAGGTCAAACTACACTTCTAATTCAGAGGTCACACTGAACTTCCAATCCAGAGGTCATACAACTCTTCCAATCCGGAGGTCACACTCGACTTCCAATCCAGAGGTCATACCGCACTTCCAATTCAGAAGCCACATCGGACCTGCAAACCAGAGGTCATACTGCACTTATAATTCAGAGGTCACACTGGGCTTGCAATCTAGAAGTCATACTACACTTCCAATCCAGAGGTCACACTTGACTTGCAAACCAGATGTCATACTGCACTTCCAATGCAGAGGCCACACTAGATTTTCAATTCAGAGGTCATAATGAACTTTTAATGCAGAAGTCACACTGGTGAGCCCATTGCCCACTCTGGCCAGCGTATGATTATCCCGATTTTGTTTTGTTTCAGAGTCACGCAGTTTTTTAGCACAAGCGACCAGAAACAAACAGCACGACTGAATATATAATACAGTATACTGTATAAGAGTTCAACTTTCATGAATCGAGCAAGATTATACGGACTTGAAAAAATAAGAATTCTAAAGCGAAGCACTACGAGTGAAGAAGCAGATAAGTGAAGTGTCTTCATCTGCAGTGTGATGGTTAAACGCTGTGTGGACGAGGCCAAATGTACTGGGAGTTCTGAACATGCGCGGTGGAATCACCTAGTGAAGTTCACGGGAATGGTAACGATGTAGTAGCCATAGCGATAGAAGTAGTGGTGATAGAAGAGGATAAAGAGGAGGGCTGACCACCAGTGATCGTGTGACTGGAGTGAATTTGCCAGTGTTGGAAATGTTTGTTTCAATTACTGCATGTAAATACACTCTTAGCAGTGAACGCTTTGCGTGGTTCATACATTTGAATTATTACACTATACTTCCATCTACTGGCCACAAATGGGGAATTCCTTTCCGTGGTAGCAACCTTAATATATAAAACACTCAGTGGCTTGG